GATACATTTTTCTGAAATTAATAATCCGGTCTTCTTACGTACAAATTAAAAACGCAAATAAAAACAGCTGGATGGAAAAGTACTTACATATGAAGACTTAAAGAGAAAAGCTGTAAAATGTGCCATCAGTTATCCAGACCTACCTCTAGCGTACAGCAGGGCCACGACAAACACACACACCAGTCTCCTCCTCTGCTGATTGTCAGGTGAACTCCTTAACGGTGTAAAGTACCGTCATTCCTACCAATTGATTTCCAGTGGATCAATAGGCTGCTCTCGTGCTCACACTGAGCCAGAACAACGGCCCAGCTGAGAGGAAGGAACAGGTCTTTTTCTGTCTCCTTGTTTACTCGGCTGCTGGCGTGTGTGAGAAAGAGCAGCAGATTGTGTGACAGACACCTGGATCACAGAAACATGTGATCAGAAAGGATGGCACTAATCCTAAGCACTCTTTGGAGCTTCTTTTATAATGTCCTCAAGTGAAAACTCAACTGAAATGAACGTATTACAAGACTATATGAAAACATTCTTCTTTGTTTTTTACATTTCTCAAAATAATACAACAAATCAGTAAAAAGACAAATATGACTCAAGCAAATGGTGTCAGTGCCAATGCCCGTCACAGTTTAGGGCGGTACATTGTGTATGTGTTCACACCCCCCCCCACCACTCCTTCCAACATCAAACTAGCTCATGCGTGCGCACACACACACACAAACACTCAAACCCCATCCTTCCCATGGTGCGTCCAGGCTCGGAGAAACTCGCCCCCCTGGGGACTGGCAGATTAACACATGACAGAGCTCGTTAACCCTGGACAAAGAGAGACGGTAATCTTGTACAGTCGGCTTCGACTGTCCTCACACAGTACACAGACACAGCTACAGGGACAGAGAGAGAGGGACAGACAGAAGCTCAAGAAAGGCAAGAAAGAATGAGGGAGGGATACTAAGCAGTAACAGAGGCGTCAGTATGTCCCAGAAACTAGACAATACCGTGGAGAGGCAGGGCAAGAGGGTCCATTAGCCCCAAGACAATAAGGGCAGAGACAGAGTTCGACTACAAACAAGGCCGCAACGGCGAGGTTCCTACTACTGCCTGGCTGAGCTCCACCGTCTGCAGGGATGACCAGCAGGCTAGCACAGAGCTCAACTATTGATCGCACAGGAGGAAGTGGGGAGCAAGCCTAGCAGCTCCACAGATGGGAATGACAGAGACAGAGAGAGGAAGTGCATTAGTAAGGCAGGTCCTCTGATGCTGTTAACTCCCTCCCCTGGGAGATGAGAGATAGTGACAAGGTTTTAGGAGAGGCAAAAAAAAAAAGAATTGGGGGGGGGGGGGGGTGTAGACATTGGGCAAACATGAAACAGCAAGAGAAGAGACAGAAGACCCGACAGAGAGGCAACATAGAAACTAAAGCTAATTTGTAACTTGAAGAGCCGCTGGATCAGCTCCATAATGGGCCGTCTGCCCACAAACAAGCTCCTCTCTGGGGGTAAATGAGATCAGGCCAGCCCAGGACCAGCTGGTGGCTTGGATCAGTGACACCAGATAGAGTAGATACAGGGACGGAGGAAGAGGGCAGAACAAAGCATCTGGACAGGATGGCAGAAACACACCCGAGAGACTTCGGCGTTCTCTCGAGATTTTGCACGGGGACACGGACACACGCACACAAAGTACAAGTGGAGGGACTGTGTCCATAAGAGGATTATGTCCTCCTGTTTGAAGTGCAACAAGGCACGTTCCAGACGGAATCTGATCCCTCGCAGGACAACAGACAGGTTGGACGGTTGACCAGCTACACACCTACTAACTACAGCTTTCTAAGGGCAAACCACACAACTGGCCACAAAACACCTCAACATCTGCCTACTAACTGCCAGAAACTCAGCATTTACCACATCCACAACAACCAAAGACATGCTTTTAGCACTTTGTGGAGAGTTGATGATACATCTTTATAGCAACAAACAAATACATTAAGACAGGGCACAGCAAGATTTAAATGTCACCAGGAGAAACTGATACGACGAAAAGGTCTATCATTCTGTCAGCACCAGGGTCTTGCACAAATGCCTATGATTCCACACGTGGCTATGGTGAGGGCAGGCTGGGTAGCCTCTGACATAATCTTGACTACAGCAGCCACTGGGCCAGTGCAGCAGACGTACAGCAATGTCAATGTAAAGAGGAGAGTTTGACACAAATTTTTGTCTTGAAGCCTAGCAACAGGGCTGTGAACCATGTCCAGTATCCATCCTCCCACCAGTGGAATTCAGAGCGTCCAAACACAGCAAATTACTGCAGCTGTTGGCAAATACAGCCTCAAAATCGCACAGCCAGTTGCCAACTGAATGCCCCGACAACTGTGACAACCGTGGCTGCTATCATGACTGGGTGCACAGACCACAGCAAAGTTTATCTCTGTTTTATCTTCACTGCACAGATTCAGTGATGTGCCCGTGGCAGTTTCCTCAAGCTTCAATCGCCCAGAAAACAGAGAAGGAAATTCAGCCTAACATACAGGCGCTGTTGGTGTTTTGATAATCTTGCTATTAAACTTGCTAAACTATTGTGCTGTTGCTGCCATCGCTTAAAACAGGGCTACACATGATGGTAGAAATCTTTAATGGCACTAAGAAGTGCAAGGGTCACGAGTTCAGGCGGGAAAAAACCTGATGACCAGAGGGACAGGCATGCCCTTGTCACAATTGAGAAGTTCAGAGCTTCTGGGGGGGGGTCCTTGGGCTAAGGTCAAGCTGACGCACAGGTCTATTAATGCAACAATCATCTCCCCTCTCAGGATGGTGGCAGCATGGGTCGATAGGCCAGCTGAGGGCAAAACAGGTTATTAGTATTTAAACTGACATAAAATATAAGCTTGTGAAAGATTTTAAATTAGCTATAAATCTGCCGACCACTTGTTTGGTCATTAAAATTATTATTAAAATTATTTTTCTGTTGATCGACTAGATTCAATGACGTGTTGAATTGTTTCAGCTAGAGTTGAATTAATAAATTACTGACAATAAAAAAAGTTTTTAAAGAACACTTTCTACAATTTTAATGATTACTAATCATTATCAAAATTACAACTATTTAATAGTTTGTCAAGCCACTCGATTAATTTAATCATTATTTCAGCATTAGTAGTTAATTTTTTTAATCTATGCTCCCTCTAATATGCAGGATTGTTTCGGACACTGTCAATGCGCACTCCCTCTTATTGCGGTGAGTCACTAACACTGTAGACACTTACACCCTTTATTCTAGCTCATCTAAGAGAGCGCAGATCTGCCAGTGACAGAAGACAAGGTGACGCCGCCTTTTAAAAACACGCCAACAACAACAAAAAAAAATATGTAACTATAGTCCACTCAAAATTGGACATGAGAGCATTGTACCCACATTTTACTTTTTTTTTTTTCACAATTAAAATAATTAGCTTTATTTATTCAAGTATAGTTTCTGACATATCCTCTCTACACACAAAATGCATCTGTTAGTAATCCACATCCTCCAACTAATAAATGTTTTAAGACCAACTTAAATATCTTCATAAAAACAGAGTGGTTTTGTAATGGCAGCTAAATTTAATTTCACATGATTGCATTAGGCCGCCTGTCTGTCCTCCATTTCCCTGCCTCATCCACCAACACTGAGTCAGCCATTCTCTCATCCGTGCGCAGGGGGGGCGGACTAGCTGATGGCTTTGGCCACCTCTGACTTAAGAGTCCTGGAGTGTCTCCAAACCCTGCGTGGCCGAGCCTTAAAAGTGCTCACATTAGTCGCCCTGGGATGCCATTTAATCACGATGACATCAATACCTCATGGTCGATGACCACACATCTTTGACCGACCAGTGCCCATTGTGGCCACAAAGATTGAGACAATTGATGTCGCTGTCTGTGGGGGAGGAGAACTGAGTTGTGGGCAAAGGATAAAGATTTTCAATGCTTGCATGTTTGCAGTTTATTAAATGCTCTTGGCCAGGATTTGGGAGCTGGCACTGTTTTCTCCTCCCCATTGTTCTACAGAGGGGAGTGTAATCTGTCTTGTTGCACTCACTCACCAAAAAAATAAATAAAAAAATAAAATAAAAGAGTCAGTGAAGGAGCAGCTACAAGGCCCTGCAGCCTTAACCCTCACACCACAATAGCTGATCACTTTTGGGGGTGATATTAATCACCTCTGATTACATGCCAGCATGAGTCTGTTCGCTCAGAGACATTTCAGCTTTCTGCGCGCGCACACACACACACACACGTCTGAGGCAATCACAGCTTAAACATGCCACTAATGCCCCTAACGTTATTCTGTTTAGTTGACATGAAAACGGAGTAGGCATACGCAAAAAATATTAGCCCTAAATGTGCCGGCTCTCCCCTCCCTGAGTCGACTGAAACATTTCTCAGCACTCACACCACTTGGCCCATCACAGAACAATGGGCATCCGCGACGGAGGATGGAGAAGGAGGGGAGATAAGGGAGAAAAAAAAAAGTTTAGAGAGGGAGAAAAGACAAAATGGTCACACAAAGAGGGAAAATATTCTGTAAAAATAAAAAAAGACCATGAATTAAAACAATAAATCTGATTTTAGTTAGCCTAACGTGTCTGTTGAGCACTTCCAGCTACCATGCTGCCTGCCACCGCCCCATCAATTCCCTTTTCAACAGCAAACTGAATCTGAAACCGAGCGGCTCACGGACACAAAGATGAGGTGACACTAAAACAAAACCTTTCAGACCTTTTCAGCTGCACATTTAACAGAAATATTCATTCACACAAAAAGCCAGCACAATTCTGCAATGCATTGTTTAGTGTTAAAATGAGGAAGCACAAATAATAACACGGTAAGCACAACTGAGACTGTGCAACGCACGGGAGACATAACGTTAATTATTCAGTCAGTTTATGTGAACGTTAATTAGCCTGGCAGTAGTTACAAACTGACGTTAGCATGCTAGCTAAAGCTAAAACAATCTCTCGCCCTTACCAGTCAGTGCAGCGGCGAGCTAGCAAAATCCTCTCCAGCTACGCCCTGTGTTAGCAGCACAACCCGACTGAGTCCTCGAGCCAGAAAAAAACGAAAGTGAGGATGAGGTTAAAACATGAACCCGGGAAAAAACGGAAGAATGACGCGCGAGAGCGGAGCGAGTGGTCGAGCCGAGCCGACAGACAAGGAACTTCTGGGTCTCGAGCGTCGTTTTTCACAAGTGATGCGCGTTCACTGGAAGGAAGAAAGGAGGAGAATGACGCTTCAGTCCACACACACACACACACACACACACACACACACACACACACACACACACACACACACACACACACACACACACACACACACACACACACACACACCGGTGAACGGATGGATGGGCAGGAGAAGGAGGAGAGGACGGGGATGCCGCTTCCTTCAGGTGCAGTTGGAAAACGCGACATTAATGAGTCATTTACGTACGAAAGCAGGGCCCTACAGGCAAAGTGGTACCCAAAAAGTCTCTACGTGTGTCAGCTATAGGGATGAAAATAATTGATACTTATTAGTCGATCTACAGAAAAACAAGCTGAAAATGATTTTACACTTCAATATTAAACAATGTAAAGGAAGTATACCCAACCTATTCCCTTTCTTACGGTTACTTTCTTGCCAAGAGTTAACTAGAAGAGTGATACCCTTGTCATGTGTAACGTAATGTTAATCTAAAAAAGAAGCAGTAGGTTAGCTTAGCCTAGCATAATGACTGGAAACAGAGGCAAACTGCTAGCCTGGCTCTGTCCATAGGTAACAAAAACCACCTACCAGCACCTCTAAAGCTCATTAACTAACATGTAACACACACATAACATCGTTTGTCTAATCTAATCCAGAAAAACAGAGTTGTAAAAATTACTCATGCTGTAGGCCTACTATTTACAAAGCTCCCCCCAAGGTTAACGGGGGGGGGCTCAGTTTCTTAAGGATCCATAGCAGGTTAATTCCAGCCATGTCCAAAGGTACAGGCATACCTAAATGGAATGCAGCCGTTATTAAATAATGTTGTTAAGTACACCTGTTAGACAAGTCAGTATCCACCATTAGAGTTGTCTATTTATCGAGGCGGGAACCGCCCTGCTAAGCTGGTCAATCGTGGGTGTGACAGGATTAAAAAATAAATGAAAAATAAATTTAAACAGAGGAATGACTGAAGACAAAACAAAATTTGTTAGTTCAGTCAGATTGGTAAACATCTGCATAGTGTTAATTAAGTTTGTGTCCAACTCCCTTTCTCTGCCCTAACAGCCTGTGAAAGTAAATAAATGGAGGTTGGAATAGTTGTTTGACTTATTATGCTGGTTTGGCAATGACATTTTCACAGTCTTTTTTTAAAACCTCAAAAATAGGAGGTTACTACGAGTCTTTGAAGGCAGCATTCACCACGACAGCGCGCCATGCTGAAATTGAAAGGGGTGAATAGCGAATAGCAGGGGGACTCTGCTTTTTCTAAGCGCAGCCAATCGCCTCCCAGGCTGGGGGATTATTCAAATTAAGGATGATGTCACCTCTTGCAAGTCACCCTACTCTCTTCCCCGAGTTCTTCCCGGTTGTCTGTTACCCTCCCCTCTTAAGCCCCTGCACCCCCTTTTCTCTCCTCTTCAAACCCCTTTCTTCTTTTCTCCATGCCCCACTGCACACACACACACACACCCTGCTGCCCCACATGCATCAAGTTGCATGCATTGTCCGCCTTCAGTGTGACTGTTGCATCGAGAATTTAACATCTCTAAACACATTTCAGACCTGTTGATAGTACAATTGTAATTGGATTATTAAGACTATTTAAATGTGATTACAGCCATAACCAATTAATCTTACACAAGGATTTTCCACTAATGTAGATACAATTGAAGGCCTTGCACATTTTTAATGTTCCTTTGTTTTAAAAGTCAAATTTCCTGCGGGCAACCGACCTTACAGGTGATCTTGAACATGTGCACCTGACCTGCGAGCTCAGTCTGTCACAGCCAAAGTGAACAGAGCTGAAAATTAGAAGAAACTAATTGAACAGGGTGAGCTCGCCAGCAAGATATTAAGGCAGCAAGGAGCAGCAAATACAGGGCTTTCCTTTCGCTTAACGTGTGTGTCTCAGTCATGGTCAGACACTGAAGGGCGTTGTTTCATCGCCTACAAGCTTTTGTTTCTGTGGGCCGTGTTTCTGTGGGTCGTGCTCAGAATGGGGCTCTTCATCAGAGACAGTGTGGGTGGGCATGCCGCCTGTCTGCTGCGCTGCTGCTCAGCTCCCGGCAGCCGCCTGCCCCTGTCTGCATGAGCCAGGCTTTTGTGTACTGGTCTGTTCAGTCGGGCCTGTGGCGCACTCCTCTCTTTCCAAGGGCTGGAGAGGGGAGATTCGGGCCTGCGTTGGCACAAAACTGAAAACATATGCACCCGATTTCATAAAAGTACATTTATCTCTTGTATCTCTTGGTCTCCCTTTGTCTTTCTGTGTCAGATTTCCAGAGGACGTTTTGTTTGTGTTCCTCTGAGGTGGATTGGCCCACCAGTTTATTAGGCTATTGCTCAGTGTTATCTGCTGTTCAACAATGCCACTTGTCTTGCTCTAGCTGAAGGTCATGTCAAATCCACAGACATATCTACAGGATTAATCAAGTTATTCAAATAGCCTAACAGGTCAGGCTAGATGTAGTTGGAAATAATACCCACATACTGTAGTTGTGTGTGGATTTCATTGTGACCATAACAAGTGACCATCGACCGTGCATGTGTGTGTGTAAACAAGTATGTGAAAGACATGGAAGGAGACCAGGAAGAGGGTGGGGACTCCGGTGGTGGGTGGGGGGGGTCAGATGCCTGCTGGCTTGATGCTGATGGACGTATTGGCATGGTCAACCAGGCGCAACAAAGAGAGGAAGGTGTTTTTTTTTTCATACAGGCAGTGGTGTGCGGCAGCAGAGGCAGGAAGGGGCAGGGCTGTGTACTGCTGCACAGTTCCCGTGTTATTTATCTCATTGTTTTCCACCCCCTGGCCCACAGTCCAGCTGGGGCAGCCACAGCACAAAAGGTCTGGCGCTCAGTCAAGCCCCGAAACCTGGCCTCCAGTCAGTTAGGGGTCTGCTACCTTTGACGAACTTCTACACACATCAGTTATTTAAACAGCAGCACATACAGGCATGCTTTCATTGCGTTTATTCCAGCATGTACAGTCAGACTGTAGCCTGTTGAAGTCTGGATCTTCAAGCCACACAAGAAAGCAGCTGGCAGTGAGAGACACACCCATCACACCAGACATAGTCGCCATCTTTTTATAGGCATGTTCACAAATCAAACCCTCTCTTAAATGCATGAGAGGTATTCCTGTTAATGACACTTCACACTCTAATAGTGGCTACCTTATAAATGGGGTGTGGATGTACGAATACTACCAGGAAGATACAGGTTAGCACATGTGGGTGCAGCTGCTGCTTTCCCTGAAGGGTGCAGCGTGCCAGCACAGCATTTCATTAACATGCAACATGCTACCGCACTCACTGACAGGCGGCATGTGAAGAAGAACTACAGGCCACACAGAAGAGGGTGACTGAACCTCATTAACGGACCCTTATCATATATCATGCATGCTCTGCTGCAGCTTGTGGGCCACGCACATTATACTGGAGCATGTCACCTGTGGGCTCGAGATTCAGATCCCTGCTGACTTTTATCCTAGTCCTTTAATCAAGGGTATATTTCTGAGTTGCCATGTGAATGCAGTTAACTAGGATGGGACACCGGCTCCACCCTGCTGTTTGTTTTCTCTGTGGGACTGTTTAATCAGCTTAAACCTGAAACCTGATAATGTTCAGAGCAGGATGGCCGGTTCCTGTCAGTCTTATTCTAAGTGCCTGGGCACAGCCCCGTTAGCATCCTTGAGTAAATAATGCATGCAGGTACTAAGGATATTGGACAGCCATACCACTCCACTGCACTAAGAGCAGTGAGTATGCCTTGATCTTTGTCTGTCCCAAATGCTCTTTAATTTTTGTCCATTTGCATCTTGAGCAGGTTTTCTTTGGCTGGCACAGCCTGACCCTGACTCTGCTTCCATTTACCTTGTGTTGACATGTGGTTTGTGATAATGGTAAGCTGAAGGTTAAGTACTTTACTTACACTCTCAGCATTTTTTTTATCTTTAATGAAGGCAGCCTAACCCTTCCTCTCCTCCTTAAAGTACCAGTGTTTTAGCCTCATTTCTTTATTGCTTCTGGATTGCATTGTTTTCCTTTGATTGACTGGTTGGTGGCTGCAGACAGAGCCTGCTCTCTCCCTCTAGTGGTGTCAGACTACCATAGCAATCCAAGCTTTGTATCATACTCTATCTATATAATTTTCTATAGCAGCCTATCCCAGCACACACTAAGAGGACACAGCACCTCAGACAGGTGTATTCTTATGTATATATTACAGTTTATTAAAAGTGTAAATAAGCAGTCTGTGACTCCCACATCCCACAACTTCTTTAGCCTTCCTGGCATGACAGAGATAAAGTATGGAGCCTGTTATTATGAAATGGTATTTCATTATTTTCATTTTTATATTTAGTGTTGCGTTCATTGTTATATGATTATAGAGATTTTCCAAAAGACTGTTTTTAGTACACCAACATTGCCATCCATATAGCAATGCATTGTCGGTCTGTCCGTCCACCACTTTGGTCCAGACTAGAACATCCATAATAGAAACAACTATTGAACATTTTTTACAGATATTTGTGGCCCCCAGAGGATAAAGCCTAGTGACTTTGGTGGTCCCCTGACATTTACTCTAGAACCCAGCAGTTAAAATATGTAAATTAAAAATGTTTTCATTTACATAGTGAAATATCTCAACATTAACTAAATGTATTGGCGCAAATATGTACAGTGACATTCTTGTTCCCAGAGGATGAATCTTAATGAATTTGGTGAATCCCTGACTTTTTTCTATGACCACCATTAAGATGACATTTGAGTGAAATCCAACAACTGTTGGATGAATTGTCATGAAACATTTATCATAGCCTGGGTTACTTAGGTCAACAATCTTGACACAATATCAGTCTTTCCAGTTTATTTTGCTGACATGTACTTTAATTCAAAATGCAGCATCTTCACATAAAAGATTCAATACCAGTGAAGATAAGAACCTGTACAATTTCCTCCTGTACAGAAAGTGAGAAACTCACTTTTAGCTATTACTGGCAGTATGAGGTAAAATAATTAAGACAGCATACAAAAGACAAGTAAACAAATGATAAGCAATAACACAGTTACCATTAAATCAAAGTGGCATTAAAAGAACCTTCCCGTAAGTGTCAGGAGGACAACACTAACAGTTGCATTACATTGCTTTGCTCCATTGTGCTATATAGCTCCCTTGTGAAACATTTAAATCCTATTAAGCTATACATCCATCTTGTTTGTAAATAAACATTAATTAAAAGGAAACACATACAATATTAATTAATTTAAGTTAGCATGTAAGTGAGCAATAAAAAAAAATGTACCATTAAATCCTGAAACACATTTTGTGCAGAGATCATATCTTTTCCATTGAACAGTGACCTTCATATGCCTCCATGCAGCATGCTGGAATGACATTACCACTTTAAGTTTCTTTAACAAGAGTGGTATTCTGAATATTCTTTAAAAGGGTAAATGAAGAACTGCTGGTTTGTAGAAATGCCCTAGCTTTTTTAAAGATAAAAAAGCAATTACCCTTTTACACATGGCTTCAATGTCAGTGCCCAAGTCTGACACATTATATAAAATACAGACACAACTCTATAAGCTGCATACATACCCTCCAAAGTCAATACACAGTAACTTCATATTTTCCTCACAATTGACTTAAGACAGGTGTCTGACTTTTTGACATCATACCTTACCATCAATGTTATTATACTGTAGAACTTTTTTGGGAGGAAAAAAACAGCATGGAAAATTGTCAAGAACTAGTAAACAGAGGTCAAAAACCAAACTGCAGTGACAGCTAGTTAAAGCTAGCTGGGAAAATATCCTTAGCAACACCTAATTTACCCACTTTTTTCTGTTTCCTGGAATTGAAAGATCTATTTTTGTGTTCCCCATCTTGGTCCCTCAACTTTACCTGCACTTGGTCCTTGCGCTTTTCACTGCAGCAACAGATATTTAAAACAGTAACTTAAACACAGCCCCTTTTAGTCTCCTGGATTCACCTCTTTCTACCAAAACAAGACGTTCAAAAAGCCTATACCCTGGTTTAATGAAGAAACATGTGCTCTCCAGCAGGCTGCACGACACTGAGACACAAATTTACGTAAATCCTGGTCTGGGCTTCTAAACCAACCACCTACCTCCTCCACCTTCTACCAGCTAACCTTTTCAAAGACCTCTGGTCATCTCTGCGACCTACAATGCTGAATCACTTACAACTGGCACTGTACCCACTAGCTTTAAGGCTGCTGTGGTTAAACCTCGACTTAAGAAACCATACCTTGATCCAGGGTCTTTTAATAATACTTACCTGTCTCAGACCTTCCATTCTTTTAAAAAGTACTAGAAAGAGTTTCGTCTCAGAACACATCAGTAACTTTTTTGAACCTTTTCGATCTGCTTTTAGTGCCTGCCGCTCCATTGAAACTCCACTTACCAAATTGATGAATGATCTTTACTTATAATGGATTTGGATTTTACCTCAGTGCATCTATTGGATGTCAGTGTGATTTTTGACACCATAGATCACTGTATAGTCCTAGACAGACTGAAAAATCTATTTCAAGGTCTCCGGCCTGGCTCTTACGTGGTTAAAGTTTTACTTATCTGAAAGAACACACTGTTTTTCCTACAATATCACATCAAACATTTCTCATGTGAAATATGGAGTACCACAGGGCTCTGTTCTTGGCCCTCTGCTTTTCTCTTTATATATTACACCTCTTGGCCAAATTATACGCAGTCAAGCAATTAATTTCCAATGCAATGCTGATGATACTCATCTGTATGTGGATGATCATTCCCAAATTATTGTCTGCTTTGAAAAACTGAGTGTCACATAAGTTCTAGCTCCTAAACTCTGATTAAATTGAGATGCTGGCCATTGGCCCTTCTTGACAAAGACACCAGTTTCATTAACAACTGCGTGGTCCCTTAAAGTTTGACAGCCAAGAATCTCTGTGTTAGGGCAGTTGTAATAACCGCAAAATTGAAAGCCAACCGTAAAGGATGGCAAGTGCCGCAAAAAACGCAGTGTTCATATCCACTTCAGTGTGTGTTCAATTAATAAATTAGTGCTTCAAATATTCCACAAGTGTAACGAGCTCTGTAACGGGTCAAGTACGGATCACCATGGGATGTACGTGACCCGACTTAAAACTTGGAAGCTGTAAGTTGCTGTGTTTTGTGTTGTTTTACTGTTTATTTTGTAAGTTAGTAGGTTGGTGTTAGCATATTGAGCGGCTAATGTGATACTGATGGACAGTCAAGAGAAACCGTGAACGGAAAACCTCATTTGAAGCTCACTAAATAACAAACGTAATATGTTGGATACCTGCAGCTGTTTTTAATGTTGTTTTCTGTAGAAATTTAGTTATAACGTTACTACAGCGCAGGTGTTAGCTTTGTTAAAGAATGGAAGCCCATTGTACTCCGCACCGGTGTGTGCTTTGCTGCGGTATGTAAATTAACTAAATCAAAAATGGCAATAATACCACATACATCCTTCATGCCTTGCACCATCATCCGTCCGGTGGGCGGTTCTCAGTTTCACTGAATCTTGGTTAAATTTGGCTAAGAGCCTACAAACTTCAACCCCTTTACAGTTATTGCTCTCTGCTTTTGTAAGGCAGCATAGTCTAGCACAATGTGCAGCTTCTAAAATGTTCTACAATGACACAGCTCTCTTTAAGCATCACTTGACATTGTTTGAATCCTGATTTTCTATCCACTAACCACTTATCCTGTGGAGGGTCGCGGAAGGGCTGGAGCCATTCCCAGCTGACAGGACAGACCCTGGATAGGTCGCCAGTTTATCACATAGAGACAACCAACCATTCACACTCACATCCACACCTAAGGGCAATTTTTGAGTCACCAATTAACCTATTAACCTGCATGTCTTTGGACTGTGGGAGGAAGCCGGAGCACCCGGAGATAACCCACGCAGACACAAGGAGAACTCCACACAGAAAGGCCTGGGATGACCAAGGTTTGCACCCAAGACCTTCTTGCTGTGAGGCGACAGTGCTAACAACACCCTTATTTTCTATAGGAATACTATTTTACATCCTTGAACAGAGCACTTGCAGACAGTAGAAAGGCGCTGTCTCCCATGCAGTCACCTGGGTCTTTACAGCAAAAACAGTTCATACATATTGATGACTTAACTGGTTGGCTGCGGGGCTTGTCCTTTCTCATGCGGTCTTCATCTCCCTCAGGCCAGAAGAGGACATGAACAAAGGGGACGAGGGGTGAACAATGAAAACAGGAGTGGAGGAACAGCGTTGAGGGAAAATGTTGCCGAAGCTAATGCTTACCTGGCTGTCTTTTGTGTCTATTCTACCTCTGCTATTAACATCCAGAGGACATACATCTATTTACATAATCAAGAGGCACAAAAATCCTGTCACCTGGGTAGCCATGTGGACAATAAAATGATAATAAAAACCATGTACATAGTGGATCATTCAAGTGAAAAATTGCAGCCATTTAGCTATTGGACCCTGTGTCCAGTCTACAGCAATGAATATGTTTACTGGCATTATGTGTGTAGTCATCAAAGCCCTATCAAACTGACATTTCAGAAAGAGAAAATAAATTATTCATACAGTACAAAAGCCTAAGCAGGTAATTGGGCTTGTGACTGTGCAGTGCGTTCTACCATTCCAGCACAAATTTAAATGCAAAATTCAAACGGACAACGTGGTCCAAGGTCAGTCTGTTCACTCTCAAGGCATTTATCGTCCCTGCTGGGTATCTGAGAAAAGGAGTGGAAATGCACTCTGCTGTAACTGGAGTGGAAATATAGTGCTTTGAAGAGAAAAAAGAAAGTGCCCTTTCACACACACACACACACACACACGGCTTACTCCCTCTGTGCCGCCGCCTCCCCCTCCTCCTCCTCCTCCTCCTCCTCCTACTCCTCCTCTTCCTCCTCAGTCACAGCAGCAGAGGAAGGAGCATGACGACCCCTCAGGCCCACGGAACTTGCCAGAACTGGGCGTGTCTGTGCACTCTGCAATGAACGTGTGCAGATCGGTGACGCGTACCTGCTCCTGTTTTTGGGCCTGTAGAAGGACAATGTACAACTCAACATTTTATGCAAATTAATTTAACAACTGCTTCACAGACATATTTCTTTATTTGAAAAAAATACATGCTCTCGTAAGGAAATAACAGAAGAAAGAATTTGATGACGAGTGCTATGCTGCCCAAGTCCTTGGCCATTGTGTAGATTTGAATAATCTAAAAAAAAAAATCTTCATGCATCAATAGTCACTTTATCCTGGCACTCATTTTCTAAATCCAATATACTGTAATTGGATTTGAGTTCTTTTGAATCAAATAGTGTTTTGATATTCTAAAAAGGACCTTCCCCTAGTCATTAGTTTTGCAGGTATTTAGTCAAGTACTGGAAAATTGCGAACTAATGATGGCCACTGGCATGGCTAAAAATGCACAGAAATAAGAACACAACTAAATAAAACTATACCATAATGGTGTCGTAGGCTCCGGTGATGAGTGCAATGAAGAGGGACAGCACCATGTAGATGAAGAGGGAGATAAAGGTGTATAGGTAGACCTGGCTGAAGATCCACACCAATGTGCCGCTATGCTCCATCTCAGCGAACGTTACAAACATGTCGTCTCCGTTGATCAGAGAAAACAGGCACTCTGACACTTTGGACAGGGAACGAAACTGTACACATGGGGTAAAGTCGGTGCAAAGGAACAACAACACAACACACATTAGTGCAAATTAAGGCACATTATATTAATGTAGTAGAACACTGAGATGAGAGGCTAAAGCATTTAACATGTCATAGAAATAGTTTGACAATTTGGAAATATGCTTATTTGCATTCTTGCTAAGAGTTAGATAAGAAGATTGATACCACAATATTGTATTCAGTTTAGCAGGTTGGCAGTAGCAGAGGCTTACTCCCCAGTCATTATTATCCTGTTATTATTAAGCTATGCTAATCCACTAGCCAGAGTTGCTATACCATATGAAGCTTCCTAACCTAGCTGGTTAGGTAAGCTTAGCTGAAGACTAGAAATGGGGAAACAGCCTGCCTTTCTCCAAAAATAACTAAATCTGCCTACCAGCACCTCTAAAGCTCACAAATTAACACGCAAGTCTGGCCAAGAAACAATTCGGCACATAACTAGTTTAAAAGGGAATGACAGCTGTATTGGGCCATCTTTGGACAGCCAGGCTAGCTATTTCAAGTCTTTTTGCTAAGTTAAGCTAACCAATAACCCTGATGATGTTGGGCTTGAAACTTGCATTTTTAACATGGAGATTGACCCAGGCACAAATGCTTGGCCTATTTTTTTATTTACTCTCTCGCGAGTCACATGACTTTGCAGATATGCAATAATTGTCAGAGAAGACTTTTTGTAGCAAGGCTTTAACTGCCAGTTTTAGTGTGATTCTTTATGAAATTGAACTTCTACAAATATGTTTGTAGTGATGTCAGCTTAATTTTGCCCTTTTCAATAAAAATATTTTGTCTATTCTATTGCATGTGATGTTTTATTAGTTTCTATATGTAAGGTTGTTTGATTTGTACTAGAACCCAGTGCAATAACATTGCAAGCAAAAACAATATCTCCACATAATGTTGTCATGATTCATATTTAATAAATGCTCATTAATTATACATAGCTACAAAGATGATATGGTGGAGGCTATTTTATGATAATTAGGCTGTTCTGACATGTACTTGTGGTCTGAATGACTCATGCCTGCTCATTTCCGGTTAGAGACACAGCAGAGTGTGAGTTCAGTACCTTGGCATGATACGGCCCCAGCACAATCCATCCACAGAAGCAATATCCCATATAAATGGCAGCTGCACAGCAGCAGAAGCGGATAACATTAGGAAAAGCAGCTCTTAGAGTCACAATCAAGATCTGTGAGATAAGAGAAGAAGAAAGATGATCTTTACTGTGTGTGTGTGTGTGTGTGTGTGTGTGTGTGTGGCTTATACCTACATTGTATTTCTGAAAGAAGCTGAGGTAGCGGATGACTCCCACCCACACCAGCAGAGTGGAGGTTCCCAGCAGGATTCCGCACATGTCATATGATGAAAAGGTCTGCATCGTACCAGTGACACCATTAATTACCAGAAACTGACTGAGACGTGTTTATATTATACTTCAGCTGGAGATGATCGTTTTTCTCTGACAACTATTACCTTAGACTCGATCCCAATTTTGATGAAGCTGCCGATGATGGTGAACATGTCGCTGATGATGAGCAGAATATACCAGCCATTGATGAACTCCATTCTGTCTCCCCAGCTCACACTGCGGCCAAGTTTGTGTTTGAAAAACTGCACGTACTCCTGGTTAGGGACATGGAAGATGATCAATAACACGAGGAGCTGTGTTTTTCAAGGAAAGCACCTTTAATTTCTTTGTATTTTAAATAAACAATATATATTGTGCAAGGGCTGATTTAAAAAAAAGAGAATAGTATGTACAAGATTTCTGTCACCAAGTAAAACAGTATTTTCACAAAATAAATACATTAATGTTTGGTCTGCTGTCTTACATGTTGCAGGAGGATGCCTCTGAGGATGGAGCGCCCACACAGCAGCAGGGACAGCAGACAGACAAACGCCACCACCACGTCCAGGAACTCCCGTGCATAGCTCTCCGCTGAGGAGCCGAATGAGAGCGATCAAAGGCAGTTGAGAAAATGACAGATAAAACAGTAGATATTAAGAGTCAGATGAGTGAATATCTCCACAAATTATGTGACCCCCCCCCTCCAGTTACTCACCGTGTCCAGACACGTTGGGGTCTCTACACTCCTTTATAGAGGCCTGGTTCTGTAGACTGATCTTAACTTTGCCGCTGTGTGCCCTGTTATCCATGACAATCTGATAGCAACAAGAACCAGGGTAAATATACAACCTCAGGGTATGCACATTTTTACACTACTCCATCAGTTTCCATCAACTCTTATCTCAACGTTTTGCTCAACTTAACGCACAACTTGGTCACAGCTGTGATGAAGTGTGGCTGAAACAGACCTCTATCTGCACTCTCCTGTGATGCAGGGTGTTCATTTAAATAGAAACAATACAAGAGATAGCTCACCGTGATAGCAAAGGTGTAGCAGTCGGGGATTTCATTATTTATAATGGTCTGAATGTTGATGGCCTTCAGCTGGAAGTCAATTGTTACATTGATCAGCCTGGAGACAAATACATGTGATGGGAGAGACACAGAGAACGTGAGTGGTGAAGACTGTAAAGAAAAAAAACACTTTTTAAAATTTAATTTAATAAAAAACAAACATGATATCATCTAACATGTCAAACTGGAGAGTTAAATTCTTGTAGTCCCTGTTTCCTGGAGCAGAACTGTAAGTCGGTGGATTCAGTCCAATGCAATCTGGAAAGAAGTCAGAAAATAGTCTTAGAGGAACTAAAGTAATATCACATGGGGAAGTTTTAAAACCATACAAAACTCATCATTTTCCACATCACGTGAAGCACAAACCACACTTATACCCTTCCTCAAAGTATTTTAATGCGGAATCATCCCCTTTGGACCTTAACAACCATTTTTATTTGCCTTACTTTATTTTTATCAAGCATTGCCAAAAGTAATCTCTGCCAATTCAGCAGGTGTATGCAAATAACTTCTTTCCCTAGGCAGAGATGTGCTGCTACTAAAGTAAATGGGGGGGGGGGGCTTTTTTTTCTGTTTTTGGTGATAGGATAGGAACTATTTCAAGCCTTTGAAAGTAGGGCATAGTTGCTGGGCACCTCTTGACATATGTGGAGCCGCAACACAGTGACTCACAGACACAGTCACTGCACAGAAAATACTGACCCTGAACAAATAACAAGGCATGCTAGTTTAAATGTCGAACACCCAGGGACAAATTTAATGAAAACCAAAGAGAAAAGACATGAAAGCTAAAGGTCATCCTACCGGTGACAACATAGGGATCAATGTCAAAGGTGTCGTTGACGGGGTCGATGGTGCCCCTGTAGTACCTCTGGCAGAGGGAAAGCGCACTTCCATTTACACCGACGCCCGACACGTATGCATACCGTCCCAGTGAGATCTCTGACAGAGCCATGTACTGAAGGGGAAAAAAGGAGTACAGAACAGCAACTTATAATGGTGCCCGTCTCAGGTCACATCTTTTTTGCAAGGGGGAAAAAACTTTACGCTCCCATCTTAACCAAGTGCTAGTGTAACTCTTCACAGAGTTCACCCAAATTGCAAAAACATGATTTTTGCCTCCTCATCTCTAGTGAGATCGAGTGCAGCAATGTTTCTTGTCAGGAACAAAGTCACTGTTGCTCTGGGTAATCCACAGAGCTGCTAGCGTGACTGTGGACTCTTGTGATCATACAAGTCTATAAGTCTACTAGAAACCTGGTCTTTTCTTTTTTTGGCAAATTTTAGTAGGTCAAGTTTGCCTTCATAAACTGTTCAGGTATCTCAAAACCTGAGCAAATAAAACCCCAAACGACATGCACGGCTAGATCCGACTAGAGGTAAGAGAGAAAATATGTTTGGAATTTGGGTGAATCCGCCCTTTAAGGCAGTACACTGATATGACTCTGTGTCATCATTAGGCTACCTGCTCTATGGTAAAGTGGATGCGGCTGTATAGTTCCTTCTGCGAGTGGACAGCCTGAGGAGCGTTGTCCTGGTAACCCTTAAGGAAAAGGTGCTTGAATGCAGCCGTGTTTTCCTCTTTAAATGTCACCACCATCTGGTTGCTCAGCCCAAACAGCACCAACTGAGAGGCAGAGGCAGGGACAAAACAAGCATGAGAGTGCAGAACAATGGTTATATCATAACTGGAACAGAATAAAGCAAACAGGCTGTTCTTGGACAGCAGCGTCCATCACATTCTGATATAACCTAAACGGTACTTTACGTAATACAGTGCATGAAGCTGTGTCCACCTGTAGAGTCACAATGATGATTTTGAGCAGCTGCAGGGCCAGTTTGAAAGGCTTGCGGCCCTTGGCGTGATACTTGTCACATGGGCTCATAAAGAAGTACTTTAGCTTCCTCCTTAGGACCTCCTCCTCTTCCTCCTGCTGTTGGCGGGGCTCAGAGCCCACCAGACTAGTGGGACGGGGGCTCCCAGCCCCAAGAAGGTCCCGGGGCCCATAGCTAGCCACAGAGGAGAGGAGCCTGTCCTTTTCTGGGAAATACAGAGAAAGCCATAGTTTTAGACTGGAGATGAGCCTTAAACACGATCAGCAGCAATTAAATGTTGAAGAGGCACTCAAGAGATTTAGAATAGCACTTTCATGAATTGGGAGACTCACTAGAGACAAAATGAGTCAAGCTAAAAGAACAATGGTGCTGCATCTTTCATCCAGAACTGCAACTATTACTAATTAGTTAAACAATCAATTTGTCGGTCGGCAGAAAATGAATCCGCAGCTATTTTGATAATCAAGTAATCCTTTCAGTCAGAGGTTTTCAAAGTGTCCAAGGCTCCAAACTGTTTCAGGGGAGGCTCAGTGAATGGAAGTGAAAAAATATTACATTAGTTATTACATTAGTTATCAAAAGAAGATCACATAGAAAATGTGTGTGATTTGGTTAAAGAGAGAGTTGTGTATATTTGGGGAACCGTTTTTCCCACTTTATCAGAGTCAGAAACTGATAAATCCCATAAATATTAGGCTATCTTGGCTCAATTGTTGACTGTTCATGGGATCAAATAACATAATCATGATCCCATAGGCATCCAGGAATTGAGCAAAACAAAGCAAGTAAATAAATAGGGAGTTTAGGGGGTGCTTTTTTGAGGCCTACAGTCTCAGACTTTGGAATCCCCTGGTTTAAGTCATTTGTCAAAGATGCTAAACATTTGCTGGTTCCAACATCTAAAATGTGAGAATTTGCAGCTTCTTAACCCTGATGACATCATCAGGGTTGTTTTTTTCCCCCAAGTGTCCTCCCTCCAGAGCCTCAGAGGACATTTTGCAAATGCTTTCACAGGCTGAGAATCATTCCTCATGACCAACTAAAGGTCAAATCAGCGAAGTGCCCCTTTAAGCATTGATTCACCTGTGTATGCAAATCAGTCACAGTATAAATGGAATGCGCCTCAGGATACTGCTTGAACTGGGACGTGCTTTGTAATTAAAATGGGACGCAGCAGGCGAAACTATTTAAGGTTAAGCATTTCCTTGTTGAGACTCGATATACATAAAATCACGTCTTGGCGTAATCGAAGCCAGCACACAGATACGAACAGACACGACATGAGCACGTGAAAACATCACTTATAAATGGATTTGGTGACAGACACACATTCACAGAGAGCCAAACATGGATGGTGGGTTGACAGACCTGTGGCGTTGTCTTGGAGGCAAGTGTAACCTGAAGATGCCATGCTGACACTCAGACGGTCACGGGGGGGATGATGGAGACGGACATCGTCGGCACAAACATGGAGTCGCGAGGGAATTCACATTATCAAAGCGGGTCGGATTTCATCATACACATAAAGGATGCTCGGTGTCGCAGTGTACGGATGACAGGTAAACAGACCGCGGCTTCCTGGTAGCCACGTGACCGTACCACGTGACTGATGCCATCCCCCGTGAAGCGCTCATCAGTCATCCTGTCGAAGTCTGGGGCCGATAAGAGATCCTTCAGGCAGATAGCACGCCACCATGAGTTTCATGTTCGGTATGGCGATGACACAGACTCACATGGCATTTCGCATTGTTATATTTTTATTAACTGTTTACTTCAATAATAACAGACACAATAAACAATGCCATCAATAATAACAAGCACAACAAACACGGTATGAGCAGGGCAGTGGCCAGGACTGCGGCTAATCTGAGGTCGTGAGTCCAGAAACCAAAAACATATACAACAACAAACAATGCTTTTCATTCATCATTTGAATATTTCATTTTATTTATTGTGCAGACTATGTATTATATAAACTTTCAACCTGATGGTCTAAATTGTATTTCAATGCCTTCTTTTTGCTGCCAGGAATACAATTCTGCTGGAGAAATGCTGAAGCCTTTATTTAATATTTCGTTGTCTTCAAAGTAAATCTAACAATATTGGAGTCTTGTAAAACACCATGTGTACGTTTTGTTTTTAATTATAGAATGTTAACTCCCCTGTGTTACTAATACCCATAAAGTGTCTCTCTCACACACAAAATAAAATAATAAAAATAACACACAATATAACACAAAAACAATAGTGAGGATATATCCTCAGTGGTAGCTGCAGCCCTGATCATAAATCTAGTTTACAGAGATGAAACATGCGCCTGGAGTTGAAATGTTTAAGGAGGGAAAACAAAAACTCTGGCCCGCCGCCTGTAAAAGAATATTTTGTTGCATTAAAAGAGTTTTTGTGACAACTTTTTACAGTATAGAAACCTGGGATGCTCCAATTAGTTGTCCACCACTTAACTTAGTGAGTTGTCTTTGTTCACATTCACCCTATGAGGCGACGCCCGCACCACACAATTACTTTCATTGTCAAATAATTTGTTGATTTTTTTATGATCAACTGATTTGTTGTTTAGTCTACAAAAAGGTCTAATAATAATAGTGTGAAAAGGCCATCACAATTTCCCAGATCCCAGTGTGACATATTTTAACTGAAGTTATTTCATTAAACTATTTTGACCTGTTATACTTTCACCAAATACTGTGGTGAAAGTATTATCCAATAAAGGTAATCTTTTATAAATCATCTGTGACGTAAAAATGTGACGTGAAACTACAAATGAAGTGATCTTCAGTAAACAAGTGTGTCCCTTCATGAAGGTACAACTAGCTGAATTTTTTCTCTGCTTTAGGTGTGGCTCAGTGTGGTGCAGTCATCCATCCATAAAGTCACCCCGTCTCATCAGTTACCACAAGGAAATTCATTCAGGAACAAACACTAGCCTGGATGTGGATGATTTATCTTCAACCTGTTTTGATTACCATAACCACCCGCTCTCTCCGGTCCTCCTTATCTGCCGTCCAAAGCCTTGTCCCTGGCTATGACGGACTCGTTAAACTTTATCATCAACGTGGTGCCTTTGTGCCAGTGTGCAGTGACCTTGGCAGGGAAGCCGCTGTGTGTGAGGATGGCCTCCACGATGCCCGCGGTGAAGGCAGCGCAGTTCAAGCTGCTGTTCTCCTTGGGCACAGAGATGTACGCATTGATAAGCGGCTCCTTTTCTATGATGTAATAAGTCTTGTCGTCATCGTTGGCCTGCTCCAGCTTGTCAGCCTCCTTCCCGAACAAAGACTTCCAGACATTAACCTAAAAAGAAAGCAAAGTGTTAGCATTAAAAAGGAAAACTTTACTGTTGCTACTAAATCGACAGTGTTAAGAATTAAAAAGGAAAATGTTACTTTACATCTGGCTTACCTTGATGAAGAGCAGCATATTCAGCACTTTGGTCTCCCTCTTCCCGTTCTTCTCTCTCAGCACCAGCACGTCCAGCATGCTCGCTCCCACGCTCTGGCCCATGTCTGACAGGCGTGTCTGCAGCTCAGACACAGAGTACACGCGGCTCTGACAGTACTGGACCATCTCTGAGAACAGGAGGGCAAAAGTGCTCACACTGACTTCAGTCTTGGGTCGGGTGAGGGGCCTCTCCAAGATGTTGGATTTCCCCCGCGTGAACCGCGTGTCCATTTTCTGTAGGAGAGTGATGATAGTCCACGGCAGAGGTTAGTATCTACTGACACACACATGCAGATCGATGAGAACTAATTGGTGTTACTGGCTAGCAGGAGAGAAATGGATGTGCACTTCAATCAAGTGACTTGATCTATTTTTGGGCATTTCTGATGGAAATCAAAATATGATCTCTTGCACATATTTCTGTACGTATACGTGTATTGGCACAAATATTTGCACAATTCATGTACACAGAATATGGCAGTGATTCCCAAACAGAGGTCCTGGTGCAACTTTTGCAGTTGTCAGGTACAAAAGATTGTAGAGTGATGATATGATATGACTGAACAACTATCCTATAGCTACACATGGGGAGATAATGATGCCAAAAGCTGTAAGTTACCCATTTGGACATGAGGATCTATACTGTACAATGTTAGAAAATACTATTTAAACACGTGGGTTTAACTAACACACATAGCAGAAGCTCACATTTGAGCCCACATCCTTTATGTTGCTGCTTCATACACAAATCAGGCCTGACGTTTTTTACAAGCTACCAAAACTAACATAGCACTGCAACCAGACTGTATAAAAAAAAGGTGCAAACTGTATAAAAAAAAGGTGCAATATTCCACTATTCATTTATTAATTTAATGTTTTTTTCACATTAATGTTTAGGTCTGGAAAATGTGGCATCATCATAGTGTACAGTCCAAAAATATGTCAATATAGAATAAGATAAAACAAAGAAAATCAGAAAATATTCACATTAGAGGAGCTGAATATACAGATTGGTTTGCATTTTGCTGGTGATTCCTTTCATTGGCTTCTCTCTTTTCAGAGGTTCACTGGCTAATATTTTCAGCACTATTTTTCACAACTGGTATGAAATGACAACACAACAATCCCTCTTTCAAATTCTCCATGGAGACCCTTCATCCTTTAGATTGGGGTACACTGTGCGGCCACTTCTCCAGTCCCTACATCAGATTCACGGGATGTTTCGCCTAATAAATACAAACGACGCATTTTCTAAGCTTTCGCCAGTCTGCTGAATAACACACTGTTCCTCCACTAACACTCAGTTTGAGCCTTTCAAGCCCAACAAACAGCTGATCGTCACTAGCTGTTAGCTACGTTGCCACAAATGCTAGCTGCTACTTCCTGTTACAATAACTGCATGCGAGCCCTTCAAGGACAGGAAACACGTACGTTTTAAAAACAGTGTAGACAACATTTGATCTGTTATTGTGATTTCCATTAGCGAGGTCTTTGACGATAAACAAACCTTATTTATTGTTAAATCAGCAACTGTCCAGTGTTTCTTCTTCTTCTTCTTCTTCTTCTTCTTCTTCTTCCTCCTTTAGGTTTTAATTATTCGCGTGATCAACATTCAAGTTTCACAGCGCCACCTACTGTCCCGGAGCTTGCAGCGTCAGGGTATGAAGATCCATCCATCGTCAACAGCTTATCCTGCGTACAGGGTCGCGGGGACGTATGAAGATAATACACATACGCATATTTTTTGAAACAAGATTTTTTTGAATGTTCTACATCAGATTTTGAAGTTTGGCATCAAGTGTTTGTTCAGACCATAAAGATTATTATTTAACCACACAATTCACACTTCAACTTTCACTCAGGGGCAAAAATCAGCCTTTAAACTTGAAAGAAATAATGATTTGACATTTAGCGTGATAATTATCGATATCGACAGATATGAAATTCTTTATCTTGAAAACATTTTTGAGCCCAGCCCTATTGCTATTAATTATTTACAAACCCACTTACCTACAGTAGTTTCCTGCTCATTATTTATCTAACCATTCACCAACATTTTATTGCTTTTCTTTATTTAGTTAGCCATTGATCAGCATCATTTTTATCTCTTGTCCCTGTCAAAAAGGTCAAAAAGTCACCCTAACATAGAATAAACCAATATGTCTTACAGATACTGTTCATGTATAAAACACAAAAATATGCAGCACACATTCACCAGTAAATGATGCCAAGGTATAACAAAGCAGTTCCCCAAAACTTCTCCTCAGTACGTCAACTGATTGCATATGCAATGTTGGGGAAACTAGTAAAAGGAGACGAGTTAAATTTAACTGAAAGAATATCAACAGCATGTGACACGGGGCTCCCATGAGTTACATGGGATACATACAAAACCAAGTATACACACATAGTACAAGTATTTTCTATATTAGCAGTAAACATAAGCACAAAACAGGCTTCATCATATTCTGGATTTGACTGTGTGCTTGATGAGCATCACTTCTCTAAAATCTGTCCAAATTGTACTTAATGTGCTGTTTTTATTTTTGAATACATCTAGCTGACCAGGATCACAGCACCCTTGTTTCTATGTTTTTGTCCCAAATGACTCAGACTTACAGGCCATTTTCATAGCAGACATTGTGGCTATGGCATATAATATCAACAATGGCTCAGTTCCAGCAATCAGTGCTATGCAGCAATTAATAATGTCTGCTCAACTTTAGTTTCACTCGACATTTTTCTCCCTATAGTCATGTGCGCCCCACCCTCAAGAACTGTATATGTTATCATTTTAGTCTGGTTAACTCTCCCTCCCTCTAAAGGTCGTTATTATCACAGATTACAGTAATTACAGATTTATATCTTTGACCTTCTGCAATGTATTTTCCAGTTCAGCCATAGACTGCATCCACTTCCTGTTCTTGTCCTCATATGACTGCTGTGAACACTGGCCTGTAACTTTTGGCCCTGAACAGTGTGTCCATTTCTTCAGAGTTGCATTTCCGACATGTTCCGTCTGCACACATAAACCAGACATATCATCAATAATGAATAAATCAGTGTGTCACGGCCACACAGCCCACATGTGATTCGTGGTTCTGGGACTTCCTCAGTTTTGCAGCCATGGCTTTCTGAACATTAACGAGAACATGCTTGTTGCCTCAGCGAGGACTGCCAGTGATTTGTACAGTAGTGAAGAGTTCGCTGCTGGCTGGATTTTATTTCCAGGAGGTTTGTTTCACAAGCAGCAGCCATATTAACGACACAAACGAGATGACGGAGATGTTATTTTTATTTTTTTTTACAGAACTTGAGAATTTCCCGAAAATGTCCAGCTCTGTCACATCGGCAGTGTGTGGCAGACCTTGAGCGGTCAGGACAAGCGACTCTACACCATACACATTACAGGTGTCAGTTTCCCACATTGCCTAGGCGGCCACACCAACAGACTGAACTCAGGCGTATCTACATTATGTCTACAAATGTTACATAACCACCCACTTGCTCTGCAAGCAAACTTCTATAAATGAGAGGGAGGCAACAAGATAACAGACATTTGAAGCTGGGAGCTGAAGGTGTTCACGGCTCAGGATGGATAAAGGCTGCTGGAGACAGACCCTGGTCCTTGTGGTGGTCTTGGTCAGCACGTATGCAGAAGGTAATGACATTGGTTTATGTTTTCACCTGTTTTTTGAGCTGCATTGTGCGTAATGGCAAGTATAATCATCATTCAAACAAATGATCCGATGAGATTCTTTATAATTTCACTCTTTTGGCAATTTGTATTCTGTTGAGTGTGAGCAAGAGCCACGTATTTACTTTTTGTCTATTCATGAGCTCGTACATTATCTGCAGCTGAAACGTCAGCCTGTGTGCATCTAATCATTCATCTTATCAGCAGAGTTGCGGCACAGAAATCTGGGCCCCGTACATCTGCAGCCTCTGTGGGCCCCGTCATCCATTATCACGCCTGTACAAATACTCAAATTAAAAGGATAAATAGTGCATATGTAGAGATTTAAGGAAGTCTGCACAATCTGAAACATCAGCATATTTCAGCCCTCTATGTTCAACGTATCGTAATTACAGGGTGAAGCTTCAGTATAATAGAACTTTTTTTTTTTCTTCTCTCTGCGGCTGTTTCTGAAGCTAATTGCTGCTTTGTTCATCAGCAAGGTAACTATTATCACATAAGCTAACAAGCCACATTACGTGCCACTATTGAACAATTCTGAAACGCTGCTTGCAATTTGAAATCACTCTCCTTTCTTAAGCCCACAGTAATGGACTTTTTAAGGGCCCTCTACATGTTGGGGCCCTGGGTATCTAGTTCCACTGTTCCCCAGGTGACAACAGTGTGTGTGTGTGTGTGTGTGTGTGTGTGTGTGTGTGTGTGTGTTCAGTGATACAGACTGAGTTTAAGGGTGAGGTTGTGTATGGTTCAGATGTGTTTTCATCTGAATGACAGACATGAATGTGTTTTCTTTTCTCGTCTCCAGCTTCCTGGCACATGGATGACTTCATCACGGCGGTGAGGCAGGTGGAAGATGCGGACCCTGGGTCACAGCCAGTAGCTGTGTTAAGGAGGCTGCGCCGGGCAGCCGGCCTTAACGATCCATTCATTCAGCACTTTCTTGGTAATGCTGACTCTGGTGGTCCTGAGGTGGACGCTAGCCTCTCAGTTTACATTAGCAAGGCTGTGCATCACAGGGTGACAGAAGACGCTAAAGAGGAAGGCGTGGTCCTGACCTCTGATGGCACTACTGTTGCCCTGATGCCGCTCCTCCTGGGCATCGAAGCTGGTTTCCTCTCCAAGGCTGCGGGGCGTGTTCGTGGCCTGTACCAGCTCACTCTGGCCAAAGACATGGACCTTTCAGACAGGCACAGCTCTCCTCTGACCCAGTTTGTGGGACCTGATGGCTGCTGGGACAGTGTAACCTCTCCTAAAGTCTTCACCCTCTTGGACAGCCCCTCTGTGCTCACTACTGCTCAGATCAACGGAGGCATGGACGGCGCGGTTCTAGGGATGGAGGTTTCAGACAAATCCAGACGTCCTCTCAGGCTCAGCAGTCTGCTGACAGACTATTACTGCCACCAGCTGGGGAGCGAAGGACTGGACGCCGCCCCGCGCCTTATCAGCCGGGGTCGCAGGGAGAACTTCAGAATGCTGGTCACCCCTCCTGTGCTGGTCAGACAGGTGGTGAAATCAGTGGAGCTGCAGCGGAGACTGAAGGGGCGCTCAAAGATGGAGGTGAAGGAGAAAAAGCAGCTGACGGCTGTGGTGAAAGAGGGAATGAAAGAGTTTGTCCATAAGTACACGGGTGAGCATGAGATCAAACTGCAAAAGAAGTGAAAGAGTTCCAAAAACAATAGTTTGGACCATTCATTACAAATAAGAACAGAAAAGCCTGATTATTATCCCTTTACTTAATGCCATTTACACACACTAACCTGCACTGTGCATTCATTATTCACCTGTTTTAGATTGCCCGCCCATCATACCTCGCTGTATGTGGGGTGCAGAGCCGTACAGAGGAACCCCCACCAACCTCTCTCTTCCTCTCTCCTTCATGTACATCCACCACACTCACACACCGGGCCTGCCCTGTCTGACCTTCGAGCAGTGCTCTGCAGACATGCGCTCCATGCAGCGCTTCCACCAGGTGGACAGAGGCTGGGATGACATAGGCTATAGGTATAAGCAGTCAGGCTGTTTTAAGGCTCTTGCACATGTCCAAAATACAACGTGAAATGTTGCACCCAACTTACAATGTCTGTGCTCCCAAAGCTTCGTCGCAGGCTCTGACGGGTACCTCTACGAGGGCCGAGGCTGGCACTGGCAAGGAGCCCACACCCTCGGACACAACTCCATAGGCTATGGCGTTTCCTTCATCGGAAACTACGTCAACAGTCTGCCCTCCCAGCATTCCATGGGGCTGGTGAGAGATCAGCTGGCAGCCTGCGCTGTCGGTGGTGGGCGGCTAGTAGCCAACTTCACCCTACAGGGGCACAGACAGGTGGTGAACACGTCCTGTCCCGGAGATGCTCTCTATAATGAGATCAAAGGCTGGGAACACTTTGGGGTATGTACACAAGAGACAAGAATACAACTTGTGTAGCCTGCTCCAATTTGCCCTGATTGTCTGGGCATAACAGGAAAAGTAGATTAAAAGCACACTGTCAGGGATGCAAGACTCTGCGGCCTTTAGTCATTAGGGTGTGGCATCTCTCATTATGTCTTTTAATCCTCCTTTTTGGACATGTTAGCGCAGTCAGGGCATGTCTCAGGATTGCAAGAGTTTAAGTACAGCTAAGTTCAAGTCTGTGTAAAATCAACGAGTTTAATGGGAAATAAATATTTAGAAGCAAGTATTTCCATTTCAAAAGGTTTACTAAGAAAAACTCAAATGTTAGAGGTTTATAAAATTCATCATCTAGACTCCTCAGACTGATTAACTCTATCTATTATTATACTACTACTGCTATTATATTATTTTAACTTCTATTAACCATAGCAACAATGACTTTTCATTACTATATTCACATAATTATAGTATCACCCTTTAGTAAAGAATTTTATTTTACATTCATTATAGTATTAGATTATAAAACAACATTTATCTTCAAATTACTTTTGTAATCTTGGCTCTTGCAGTGTATTTTGGTCTACAGTTCTCCTATTGCAGATGGATAGTAACTGAGCACATTTACTTAAGTACTGCAGTTAAATATAATCTTGAGTGAGTACTTCTATGAGTACTGAGTAGTTTCTATGTTAGCCTGCTTTATACTTCTACTCCACTATAATTTAGAGGGAAATATTGTACTTTGTAATTATACAAAAAGCAGTATCTATGTGGGGCCCCTTGTCATGTTTCAGATGTTAGCAGTTCCACCAGAGGGACATTTCCCCTCCAAACCTCTGACATGGTTTTATTTAACAACATATTTGAGGCTCATTTTCCAGTACTGCGCAAAAAAGCAAAAGATTAGCGAAAAGTCCTAAAACTAATGAAACATTGTGTATCAGAACTTGTATTTTCTTCCTTCCAACACCAATAATGGTATCAGATTTATCTTGCAATCCTTTGGAGGGGCCCGACCTCTAGGTTGGGAACCACTGGATTTAACTATCTACAGTAACTGTATATAAAGTAATTACAACTACAGTAGCTCCACCTTGACCAGCTACAACATCATGCTGCTTACACATTGATCAGTATTAACAATCTCATAGTATATAATAATATTTGTCACAGGTGCCATTTTACTGCAGAATGAGTACTTTAAGTATATTTTGCTGATAATACTGCACTGTACTTGTTTTTTAGTAGGATTTTTATTGTTGGATTTTTACTTGTATTTACTTACAGAAATGACCTGCATACTGAATACTGCATAACTGTTTTACTGTTTCTTTCCTTTTAGGAGGTCAAAAAAGGAAAATAATATGCTTGACAAGAGGAAGACCCTACTAAATAAACCCAAACTTAACACAATACATATTTGTCTTATTCTTATGTTCTCACTATGGCTGTTCTCTTTTGAACACTATGACCTGTGTTGCACTGGCGACCTGTCCAGGGTGTACCCCGCCTTGCGCCCAATGTCAGCTGGGATAGGCTCCAGCCTGTGTGACTCTTGTGAAAAGCAATGGCTTAAAGTAAAGTACATTTACTCAAGTACTGTACCCAAGTAAAATTCTTTCCGAGATACTTAAAATATTTAGATTTTAAGCTACTTTATGCTTCTGCTTCACTTTGATTAAAAGGGAAATACTGTACGTTTTACTCCACTACATTATAGGTTTTAAATAAAACGTAATTCTGTGTCTAAACACCAAAGATTTGTTTGAATAAACTACACAGCAATGTATAAAAATAGCTCCACTTCATTTATTTGCTAATTTTAGTTACTTTGCAGATTCAGATTATTGATACAAAATATAAATCATCAAACAAATGATGATGTACTGTATACATACAGTATCTAACAGGTTCATTATTGATCCCTGAGGGGAAATTCACAAGCTACCCAGCAGTATAAAAAGTAATTAAAGTTAGCTCCACCTGTACCAGCTGCAACATTAAAGTGATGAACATATTAATGAATCAAAAATTAAAATACAGTAACATATAATAAACATATAATAATAATAATAATACATTATTGTGAAATGGGCCGTTCTGAATAATGAGTAGTCTACTTTTACTTTTGGTAATTATATTAAAGTTCCAATTTTGAATGCCAGACTTTAACTACACGGTAGTATTACTAAATACTTAAATAAAGAATCTGTATACACTCTTCATAGACTGGTGAAAAGTGACACATAAACACACGCACAGTCCCGCCTCGCGCCAGTAGAGGGCGCCAGATGACCACGTAATCGCCAGCAGGTAGGCGTTTATTGATTTCCAGCATTTAGGGTATTTTTTGTATAGTCACAGAAACTAATTGACAAACAAAACAGCTTTCTTAATCTTGCAGCGAGGGATGCGTCTATGATAAGTTTAGGAAACATGCTACAGTGGTGAGTATGTGGGCTGAGCAGATGCCACCGACTGAAACTAAACTGACGCAATTGGCAATTAATACTTCACCTGTTTCAACAAAATCACGCATGACATATATACACGTTTTCAGTGGGACATGTCAACACTGCGTTTTTCGCAGAGGAAAAGTGGCTTCTTGGTCAAAAAGCTTTAAAAATGAAAGCATCTCGCACACATTAGCGTAACCATGTTTAAATAAGAATAAAAGCAAAGCGCTCCCTAAAAGTTGAACTTATTCAACTTGGCTCCGGTGGGGTTTTTTTTACTCGCAAACTCTTCTCGTCGCCCTCCCCGTCGACGTTACGTACGCTGCCGTGGCGTGCCTGCAAGCCAAATAACATGGAGTCCTCTGCCTGGCATCTTCAAGGGATCCTTGCAAAAAACACGAGCGGCGATTAAACGACCAAGTTTGTCCATGGGAGCAGTCAAAGCCTCCGGCGAGCATCGTCTCGGGGCGTAAAAGCTTCAGCTCCGTCCTCAAAGTATGACGAAGGGTGCTTAAACAGCCTGCCTTTCACTGCGATCCGCAAACCAGGCCGATTTCAGTGAGTATTTGCACTAAAAAAACTGCAGTTTATGGGCGTTTTAGGTGTAAATGGCACGGTGCATGGGTGCATCGTTTTTATAGTCACCTGACAGCGGCTGGATCCACGTCCTCTGAAGCAACAGAGGCCAACCCGCGGGACACCTTGATGTAGGCTACCCGGGCATTTCGCTGCTTTATAGAGGGGCAGCAGGAGAGGACGTGGGCCTGAATATAAAAGGCCACTTATTTATGTAACCATTTGGGCGCCCTATTTCATTCTTTAAGACCAGACATATTGTGAAAATGGGTCAGAGAGTCTGAAAACTGCAGCTGCCAAAAATAAATAAATTAATAAAATACTGAGGAAGCCCAGACACCAGATTGTGCAGATTTGACACTTTCATCTTGTCTGATATGCTTTCTGATTCTTACTTCCAATCTGCTCGCTCCCTTATACAAACCTTTTGTATGCAAGTTATCACAGTAACAAGAGGGAAACTTTTAAGTCTTGAGAAACTTTTATTTTGTTTAGTGTGTGTTCGTGTTTCCAGAGGAAGAGGAGACTGCACAATGTAGGCAGGCTGGTCACCAGTGGGATTCCATACTGTTCTCTGGGGGACCATGGAGCCAGAAGGGCGACCCCTAACCCCAGGGACCAGCTATGGGCCCCCACCCTTCAACTCAGCACAAAACCCCGTCACCCCCGCCTCCCTCAACTGCACCTTACAGGTAAGACGTCGTCAAACGTATCATTATCTCTGTCGTTTCCGCAATCTGACAATAAGATTTGCAAACGCAAACCTGCATGTTTTTCTTATCTCCTCTAGTCATCACGTTCCCCCAATGTGAGAGGTGGCCTGATGTCTGCTAAATGCTGGGACCACACTGGAGATGAGGACCCCAAGCAGACTGAGGGCACTCAGCCCAGTGCAGACCCAGGGAGGAGCGCACAGAGGAGGTTCAGGTCCTCAGTCTTCTCTTCCTCCCTAAGCTGGGACTCTGACTCTGAGAAAGAAACACTAGATGGTAACACATGACTTATACATGTATAATATATAATTATAATATAATAATATATTGTTGCACACTTCTCAATAGTCGCACAGTGGTGATTACAATCTGCAGCAAAGCTAGAAGTAGCACTGAGTTTAGCTAATATATGTTATATATCATTGTTGTCCGCTTATTGTTCTAAATGTTATTCAGTCTGCATGTAGTCAGAAGTCTCTTATCTTTCTCTCTCTATGTAACCCCAGTATGCACTGTATCTTTAACTGTGGATCTGTTGAGCTGTGAAGTGATGTTCCTGTGGTTGTGTGTTTTGTGTGCTGTTATGTGTCAGAGGAGGAGCTACAGCACTTTTCTAACCCTCACGGTCTGGCTGCTCACAGCCCGGGATCTCCTTCGTCTGGACTCAGGTGAGGTGGAGGTGCAGTAGGAAGGGTAGGGAGGTGCTTGGTGGTGAAATCGGCTGGGTAGCTGAGGAGAAAATACAGTACACAGAGAGAGACATGGCAGAGGCAGATCTTTTTTTTTTTTTGGAAAGTTTAAAATATAATAAGGGCTGTAGGCAGGTTTGTAGAAATACTGAGGTCATTAGGGTTAGAAATGTCATGTAATGCCCTCTCGTCTGTTTCCAGTTTTTATGCTAAGCTAAGCTAACCGTATGATGCTATTGATCCTTTCATCAAACTCTTACAATAAAGTGCACATGCAAGCGTATCCTCCAAATATTAATCCTGCATAATCCCATCAATTCACTAAATCACTACTGCTCAAGTCCAAATTATATTGGTATTTCCAGGAAACATATAGTAAATTACAGAGCTATAAAATAAAGTGTTACTGTTTTATTTCCCAACTTGAAGGTTTAAGCACTGCTTCAAGGCCTTTTTCACGCTGCCAGGAATGAAATTATAGGGGGATAATACCTAATCCTATATACGTTTTTAAATCTAGCTGGCCTTAAAGTAATCAGGTTTGAATATACAGTGTCTACAAATACAAGAATCAGCATGAAAAATACTTGCGTATAATACCACATATATGTTTTTAACTGAACTCCCCCAGTTTGCTAAAACCATGTGCTCAGTGGTAGCCTGGTCCTGAGAATAAAAAAAAAAAGCTTGCACATGATCTGTAATTTTGACTTGTTTCTGACAGAGATGCTGCTTTCACTTGTTAGAAATGTCATGTAATGTTTTTCCCTCCTGATGTTGACTAGACCTGATAGTGAAGAAGACCAAGGACCAGCAAATCTGCAGCACCTGCACAGCAAGACTGACTGGCCTACTGCTGTGGAGGGGCACAACGACAACAACGAGAGCACAAAGACAGAAGAGCCAAATACATCTCAGCTTGGCCCACAAGAATGTAAGTACCATAAAGGAGGAAACAGGATCTGCTTGCACACTTGATATCTTTTTGTCCTTTCGTTGATAATTACTCTGTTTTCTCTTCACAGTGGAAGACAGCAAAGTCTGGAATGTACCTGAGGAAGCTGAGCGGTTTCTGTCCAAAGTAAAACCAAAAGAAGGTTGCCAGATGGTGGAGGAGGCAGATAGTTGTGAGGGAGAGAAAAGGCCCAAGGGAAAAGAAACCACAGAGCCTGAGAGAGATGTGTACACGTTCCCTGGAGACTCAGACCCTGAGAGTCCCCCTCCTGCCCCCTGGGCTCATTGCACATTCATTCAGCGGTGCAGAAAGAAGAGGGTGCTGCTCAGGCCCTTCTCTGGACTTGGCACCTTAAAGCGCACATTGCCTGAAAGTGGCAAACGGGCAAAAGTGAGTCCTCAAAAATCAAAACCGGCTGAGCCAGCACAGCTGAATCAAGGTGGAGAGGTTTATGATTTTGATGAAGTGAACTTGGGAGAGGCAGCAGTGGAAGAACCGGTAAAGTTCAGATACAAAGGCGGGAAAAGAGACAAAGAAGAAGAAAGTGGGATAGTGCCCGTTAAAGAAATCTTCACCTGTGTGGAATGTAGCATTTACTTCAAAAAGCAAGTCCACCTGCAGGAGCACATCGTTGAGCACTGTCAGAGTGGTGCAGGGGGTGGCAGGCGTTTAGGAAAGGGCGGCCGTTTTCGGTGCACCGAGTGTGGCTGGAACCTGCCAAATCGGCTCGCACTGGCGGACCACCACCGAAGGCACCAGGAGTCCCGTCTGAAGATCTTGGAGGAGATTGAGAAACTGAATGAAAACGGGGGAGAGATTCAGAAACTCGACAGTAAGGTGGTGAGGCATACAAGCCCAGACCGAGCTATTATGCAAGATGCAGACACAGCCTCGATTCTAGGCAAAATGTCAGACCCAGAAATAGTCACGTCTCCACCTCTTTCCCCAGCCCCAGTTTCAACACAAGATGCAGACGCAGTAGTTCTTGACTCAGAAGCAGCTCCTCCGAATTCACTTCGAAGTCCAGCTCAGGCACGAGCTGTTTCTGCCTACCGCCGCCGCTTTGTCTGCACCAAGTGTAACTTCAGCACAAGAACCTCCCAGGCACTGGCTAATCACACCAAGATCCACAACAGAAAAAAACCCGCTCTCCAGGCTCACCCCCCATCCCCTGGATCACCATCATGTTTGGCATCCACTTCCCTGGCCTGTGGTCATTGTGCCTTCCTGACCTCAAGTCAAACTGTAATGAGGGAACACCAGAACCTTGTTCACCCAGGACAGGTCTCCGTCAGCGGGGCGCAGGCTGATGAGACCGGCCTGCATTCACGGCCTAATGTGGGTGCTCGAATTTCAAAACCCACCCTAGACTCTGACCATCTCTCTGGATCTGGATCCCCACCCGATGCAACTCAAAGCCAAAGCCAGCAAGTAGTCACTGCCTCCGAGGACAGCACAATACAAGACAGCGCTGCAGCTCGGGCCACAAGCCAGTTGGTCTTCAAGTGTGTTGGGAACAGGAGATTCAGCAGAAGAGGGAAGACTTGGACTGATCTGGCCAAGTTTCATCCCAGACTGGATGATGGCAAGCTGCCTGGGAGTGAAGAAGGAGAAGAGCGGGATGAAGATCAGAGCACAGAGCTTGACACTGAGTGTTCCCAAGAAGAGGTCAGCTCACCCGTGGGAGTGAAACCGCACACCAGAGCACGATCAAACACAGGTGAGGCCCGAACGCTGAGGTTGGACTAAGTCACTTTAACTTGATTGCTACGCAGATTGGCACAGTATATCGCCCAGGTCACATATCACTGATTCCATGTACATGCTCAGAAAGCAGATTATTGTGAGTACTCTGATTTCTCCAAAACCACAGTTTACACTCTGCTTGCTCGTGGCTTTGTTTTATAATTGCACAGGAAACCTGATCATACAGAGAAGATAAAAGCTGCTCTTATCAATATTTTTATTATAAACAAGGGATCAAACTACTGTAATGTGAAAGGTCTCGCTTGTAGTGACAAACCCACAGACAATTATCACCCGACTCTGCACTTTCCCTCAGCGCTACGTAGCATTTTAACATCTTTAAGCTAATTGTTTTATGACCGGCAACTTCACTGACAGCAGCTGTTTTCAAAAAGCTCAGGATTTGGTGGAGACTAAAACAGTGCTAAAGTGGGGTGAATATTGGACTGAAACAACTACAAAAGAATACTAATGTTGCTCCGTAACTGCTGGATGTGTAAATAGCCGTTTGCTAACACTTGAGCCATTAAAAACTTTATACGGGGATAATATGCCAGTAGAATGCATTCCTACAGCAACATTACTGTCCCATGTGAGAAAATGTTCGTGCATATGAAACCCGTTAAGAAAACTGGTTTGTATAAATTATTTCTATTGCAGAAATCTAGCTGTGTTAGCATAGTTATTTTGCATTTGAATTAACTTTATGTGTATAATGTGATAAATTAAGTGATTAACAGCCAAAAATACAAAAATAAATCCCAAGTTGTAATAAACAAGAATGATCCTGTGTTGAGAAATTGTTGAGGTCAAACATTTTAAGAAGTGACTTAGGTCAGACCGACTTTAAGAGCTTCTCAGAAAAGCCCTCCAAGATGCACTTTGCATTTTAGGTTTGCATACGGTTTCAGTTTGAGTAAGATTTGTCTGTTTATTAAACATTTGAGGGTTTTTTTCTTTTCTAGATGACTGTTCAGCACAGCAGAGTGCTACATTATCACTCCCTTCAAAGAACAGTGTGAAGGGCGAAGACAAGCTGGAAGCGGAGAAAGATGGGAAGGTTTTCTGCTTGAGGAGGAGCAACAGGGTTACTGCTGCTCCTGCGGAAACTGACAGTGATGACGACGACGACGTAGACGAGGAACGCGTGCGCTTTCTCCTGTCAGAGGGCATCTTGGATGAAGACAACGACGAGCTTGATGAGGACACAGAGGCGCTCAAGAGCGTGGAAAGGAGGTGCCCCTACTGCCCCGATCGATTTCACAATGGCATTGGGCTCGCCAACCACGTGAGAGGCCACCTGAACCGAGTGGGCGTCAGCTACAACGTGCGTCACTTCATATCCCCCGAGGAAGTCAATGCGATTGAGAAGAAGTTCTCCTATCAGAAGAAGAAAAAAAAAGGTCAGCTGCTTGTTGCGTATACTTCTTTGGGTCTTTTGGCTGTGTTTTCTGAGCAGATCTTAAAGCCCTTTGTTTTTAATTTATGCTTGGCATAACAACCCTGGCATGAGCCATAGATAGTGTTTATTAGCTATACCACAATTCTCTTCAATGCCCGTTTCAGTCACAGTAGAACAAATACTGTAAAGTCAGATTTATTTATTTGTTTTGCTTTGTGGAGCTCGCCTCTCTCTAAAGTATTTTTATGACCAGCTGGGAACTCTTTATGTGAACTGCTTTTAGAAGTGGTTACTACAACATAAAGCAGGTTTTCCATACCTGGGGAAGCAACATAGTAAGAAGAATTAGAAAACTGATAAGGTATAATGTTTATCATGGTCACCATCTTAGTTTAGAGCGTTAGCAGGTTAGCAATTGCTAATTTGCACTAAACAAAAAGTTCAGCTGAGTCTAACGCGAGTATCATTAGTTTTTCAGGTATTTGCTCATAAACTTAAGTCATCTAGATGAAGCGTTCTGTGGTCACCCAAGTTATTACAGTTCCTCCTGAAGGGGAACATGAATGTGTGTGCACCAAGTTTAGTGGCAAGACAGTCGATATTTGTCGAGTCACTCAAAATCATGTTACAGGATCACCAAAGTAAATAGGATTCATCCTTTGAATGTTTGTACAAAATTGCATGGCAGTTTGTCCAATAGTTGTTGAGATAATTCAGTGTGGACCAAAGTGGTGGCTGAATGTCTGACTGACTTTGCCATCCCCAGGCCAGGCTGTTTGCATGGCTAGAAATCTCTCAACTCATGAATCAAAACAGTCAAAGACATGGCTTTGATTCAAGGGTTCACAAACCAAAAATGTCTAAACTCCCAGTTGTATTGCCTGTCCTCTCCACAGTCGCCAACTTTGACCCGGACACGTTCAGTGTGATGCACTGTGAGTTCTGTAGCGCCGGCTTCGACACCCGGGCCGGCCTGTCCAGCCATGCACGGGCCCACCTGCGCGACTTCGGCATCACTAACTGGGACGTTACCATCTCGCCCATCCACATCCTGAGGGAGTTGTTCTCCAGCCGGCCCGACCTTGTAATCCCCACGGCTCCCCCTCGGAGCCTCGGATCTCCACAGGAGGAGAGCGAGGAGGAGGAAGAGGAGAGGGAAGTGGAGGAGGAAGGGGAGGGAATCGTTGAGGTAAAGCTAGAGGGGGAGACAAGTGAAAGGACGCTGAGTGCTGCCGTTTCTGATGCACTGCCTCCAGCATCTCCTCAACGCTGCAAGAAAGAGGATGATGTAGAAGAGTGTGAAGGTAAGTTTTCATTATTGATCCCTCCTTAAAAGTAGTCATGTGCCAAATGCACTTTACTCATTGGTTGTGTTGTTATTCTGTTGGGTGCTGATGTGTTTGCTAGTTATTGCACTTTGACTATTACAAATGCATAAAACAGATGCTGTAACTGTTGTTTTAAGTCTGTTTTGCCTTTTACTAAAATAAAAACGGGGCTGCCTGAACTGGGTGGCACTGCTGTGCACTGTATTAAGTGTTTGAATCAGGATGGTGGCTGTCGTGAAAATCAACCTTAGAGAGGCTCTGTGTGTGTGTGTGTGTGTGTGTGTGTGTGTCAGGGAGAGAAAGAGAGAGAGAGAGTCCCTGATGCCCGTGGTTGATGTGGCACTCGGTGCATTTATCCCAACCAACGCCTCCACTCGATTGGTCACGCCTTAGCTTAGCGGTGCATATGGGGGCAAAATGGCTGCTTCCACCTCCCCGTAGACCCAAACAATAGCGGAAAAACTGTCTGGCCTCAGCTACCGGGAGTCCGATGCACTGCGGTTGCGGACCGGTGAGTAGCGCGCGCTGTAATTCCTGTGCACCGCGTGCCCTCGGATCACACGGCGGCGTTGCACTGCGCGTCTCGCGCCGCATCTTCTGTCACATTGTAGCCAGACAACAGCCATAAAAAACTCTTTATCGTGTGAGACTATGTAAAGAAAAGCCATGTCGCGCACAGCCATGCCAGCAGCCCATGACATGCATGTCAAAAGCTCATAAAGCGGGTCATTGGTATTGTTTCGGGGTGTTTCCGTTTTGCACGCGCGGATAAATTGTGATTTATTTTTTGTCGCTGTTGTGTTATTGTTCTGACAGTTTGTGGTTTCTTAATGCCTATGGGGGTTTTATTGTGCTCGTCTGGGATGACGTCCAGTATTTTCAATGCTGCAGGATCTCTAAAATTACCTACAGTTGCCCAATCCTCGCCATTTTCCTTTGCTTTGATTTTTGATAGAGGACACGCTGTGCTTTCAAGTGCATGCATTTGTGCATGTGTTTATCATAAACTAACTGTGAAATTTGCTCAGGAAACATGGTAACTTTGTGCACTGAAAGCGGCCATAGTCGGTAATCTTATTACAACTTATCGGGATGAACGAAGTATAATCGAAGTATCACTTTTACTTGGAAGTGTCGTGTTGCTCGGCGTTACTCCGCCTGAATGGATAGGCTAAAAGTCAAGTTAGCGGTTTGCTACTTTGTGCCGTTTTATAAATAGGCCTACTCGGCTGATGATTTAGTATTGTCTTCATTATAATAGACGGTGTTATAACGCTGCGCTCCGAGGTGTCACATCCCCGCTCTTTTACAGTCAAGAGATGAACTGACAAGCGCAGAGCCGCCCACCAGACAAAAAGCATTGTCTGTCTCCACGTCTCTTTTGATTTACCGATTTGTCGCAGAAAATGGCACTTTTGTCCCATGTATGCCTGACTGCGGGGAACCAAGACTGCCATGTTTGTTTCATACAGTAGTGCAATTATCACTTTTTTTTGACAGGGATTCATTACTTGAATTATTTTCATGCACATTTCCTCACAGAAGACGGTATAATGCGCAGTTATTACAAGGACTGCTAAATTATAGGCAATGAGCTCACAGGACTGGGGTTGATTTTTCTGCTCACAGCCTGCAGTCTTTGCACTCAAAAATACACTTATACTCTTTCAAAGGCTGACTTTTCTTTTAGGAGTAGCCTGTAGAAATTGAAATTAGTCTGATTTGTGAAACAGCATCGTTTTGATTTGAGTGATTTATTGAGTCACTTAATAGGCCTAATTAACATGGCATTTCTGAGCTTATATGGATATTGTCTGTAATGTGTCAGGTGAGGAGGAGGAAGCAGCTGAGGAAGAGGATGAGGAGGAGCTGCAGCTTCCAGCTCTGGACGGTCTGAGCTCAAGCCCCGGGAAAACAGGGCTGTGCGGCGTGGACACAGACGGCATCTCTCCTGGGGAAGATGCAGACTCCAAGGGTGAGAGAGAAATATGGGAACGCTGACCCCAGAGTGTTGACAAGGGATTGCATTTGCTACAGCAAAGCCTTATCATAGCTGTCGGGGGGGCGGGGATTGTAAAACTGACCTTAGGTCAACGTTGATGCGTGGTAACGCTACATCTGCGAGGGTTGTCCCTAGGGAAAACCTGAGAGGTAGACAAATGTATTTAGGAACTAAAGGGAGCACCTCTAACACTTGGCTAGTGTTGCTGCAGGCTGGGTGAAGACGTAGACAGGAAGGGTAAGAAAGGTGATGTGTCTTCTGGGATATCTGAGGCCTCTAAAACACCCTGAGCCACCTGCTGCTGCTTCGTAAACTTTGTCTTAATGCTGCACTTGCTGAAAATAATTAAAGCCTGGACATCAATGGTGCCAGTTACTTTGAAATATTTATGAAACTTCTTATTTTCACGCCGCCCAATTTTTTTTGTCTGATCTGCTGTTCTTGCCTCTTTTGCAGTCCACAGCTTGAAGTGTGAGGTGTGTGGAGCTCAGTTTGAGACCAGGCGGGGACTGTCCAGCCACGCCCGCTCTCACTTGCGCCAGCTGGGCATCAGTGTTTCAGAGAGCAGCGGGGCACCCATAGACCTCCTCTACCAAATTGCCAAGGAGCGCGACATAGACAGCCAAATAAGCTCACCCCTCCTAGAGCCCCTTGCATCCAAGAACTCCCCCCTGTCCGTTCCTCAGAAAGATGAGGATTTAGAAGACATGGACTTAGACGAGAAACCCAGCCCACTCTCCATCCTGGCCAAAGCAGCAAAAGCAGTGCCACCCTCTTCCTCCTCCACGCCCACACCTTCTCCGGGTGTCTCTCCGGCCCTGCCTCATTCGGGCTCCCCTTCCTCAGTAGTGAGGAAAGCTCCCATTTCCTCTCTGCTGCCTGTGTCTTCCCCCTTGCGCTCCCCTGAGCACAAGGCAGGGGGAATGAAAACCTTGACCTCTAACCTCTCTGCCCCGGCCACCATCACAGCAACCAAACCCCTCTGGGCACCGCAGGAGAATGACGCTCCTCTCAACCTCAGTAAGCGCCCTCACTGATGTCTGTCTCTGATAACACTGTAAAAAGTTCAGTTGTTTCAGTTTAGTAATTTTTTTCCTTCATGTGCAGCACTAGAGGTGGACCCCAACAAGGACATCGTTTGTCAGCTGTGTGGCGCCTGGTTTGAGACTCGGAAAGGCTTATCCAGCCATGCACGAGCGCACCTGCGACACTTTGGGGTGGAGTACTCTGAATCCAAGGGCTCTCCCATCGACCTCCTGAACCAGCTCATTGATACTGACGACTTCAAGCACAAAGCCAGTGCATTGCAGCTCGACAGCCACACAGGACCACGGGGCCTCACGACCACGCTATCCTCCCCGAAGCAGTCGCTGCTGAGCCTCTCCTCCTCCTCTTCTTCTTCATCCCTCCTCTACAAGGTGACCACAGCTGGGGGCGGGTCGACATCCAAAACTACCTCTTCCTCTGCCTCATCTTTACTAGGCCCACCTGCCAAGCGGCTCAAGTCTTCTTCCATGCGGGTCTTCCGCCTGAGTAGCGGGGAGCTCATGGCCCTTCCACACAGTGAGTTTTTGAGGGTACACTACAGGCTATTGGAGCACATGATAAATCCTTTGTGTAAAGTGGTCTTGATCTGTAGTAATTAGATGTGTCGATGAGGTGTAATGCTTTTTCTGTTGTACACGTAGGTATATTTCAGTTCACTACTCTACTCTCTTAGGTGAACCTCTTAAAGAAATAGGCTGTGAGTTCTGCGGGGAATATTTTGAGAATCGCAAAGGCCTCTCCAGCCACGCCCGCTCCCATCTGCGGCAGATGGGCATTACCGAGTGGTCTGTCAACGGCTCCCCAATCGACACCCTGAGGGAGATCATCACAAGACGGGGCCTGCCTTGCGCTCTTCCTCTAAAACCTCTCAAAACTCCACCTCCGTCCTCTCCGGGGCCCCCCCGATCCCCTCTGTCAACCTCCTCCTCTCCTTCAGCTAACCTCCTCAGTCGTCTACCCTTCGCCTTTGCCCGCCCCTCCAGCCCTCCTCAGCCCGCGGTGTCTAAATCAAGCTCCGTTCCGCCGACGTCCTCCAGCGGGCTTATCCTCAAGCTGAAGCCTGAGCCGGTGCAGCTGGAGGTGACCACGCCTGGGGATGTTGGGAGATCTGCCAGCTTCTCTGGTGAACCTCTCAGCTGGAGCAGCTCTGACAATGTGTTCCCACTTAATTTGGGTAACTTGAATGCCAAGTTTTGTCTCCAGGGCAATTAAATAGAGTAAAAAAAGTTAGACATTTTGGGAAAGACATTTATTTTACTCTCGTGCTCAGTGTAAGATAAGAAGATTATTACCGCTCTCATGTCTGTACAGTAAATATGAAGCCAAGTTGAGAAAATCCTCCTACCAGCACCTCTAAAGCTCTCTAATTACCATGTTCGTTCTTGTTTGTTAAGTTGATGGAAGTATTAAAATTAAAATTTGCCTTTTTCGGGGAGGTATCTGCCAAACTATTTCTTTGTTGTCGGTTGTCAGGTAACCAGCTGATGGATTGTCCAGTACATAACCCCCCATGTAAAGCAGCAAGTCATTTTTACACATCGGTAAATTAAACAAACGAGATATAACGTGTTAGGTAGGCGGATTTTGTCACCTTTCTACAAAGCCATGAAACAGTTGTCCTGTTTCCAGTGTGCACGCTAAGTTAAGTTAAAGGGCTGCTGCCTGTAGCTTCATATTTATCGGAATCAATTTCTCATCTAACTCTCAGCAAGAAAGTAAATAAGCGTATTTCCTGAAATGTTTAATTTTTCCTTTAAGGAAGCTTGCAAAACATACTTGCAATTTCATAAGCAGATGCAGTATATTCCTTTGAAAGCCATAGTAAAAATAATTTAGTCGAGAAGTATCCAAAGTGTGTTATAATACAGTGCATATTTACATTTAACCAGAAATGCTTTCAGTGTTAGCGCACCCCTACTATTTTTGATTTGATCCTGAAAATAATTATATTTTCTCGTCATTGACTTTCTCTCCCTGGTCTTCCCGTAGCCATGCCACATGAAGTAGAGCCGACAAGAGATATCCGCTGTGAGTTCTGCGGGGAATACTTTGAGAATCGCAAAGGCCTCTCCAGCCACGCCCGCTCCCACCTGCGCCAGATGGGCATTACTGAATGGTCTGTCAACGGCTCACCAATAGACACCCTGAGGGAGGTTATGCACAAGAGAGGTGTAGGCGCCTCCTCTCACTCTGACCAGGGAGTGAAGAAGGAGTCAAGCCAAGGAGCCAACAGTCCCCCATGGGAGAACGCCAGGGGCACCGGCAGGTCAGAGGGTTTGGGTGTTTCAGGATACCACTCCTCCAAATACCGTAAATCCCCTCTCAGTTTGCTGCAGTCAGGGTCCAGGCTCCACAAGCAGGGCCTGGGGTCCGCGGGCACATCTGCTACCCCACCTGCAGGGAAGTTTTTCAGGATGTCCCCACTAGGGAAAAGGCCTCTGTCTGAGGAGGCCCGATCAGTGGAGACTGCCCACTCACCATCACATCAGCCTAAGACTTTCTCGCCTCTGCCACATGATTTCTCCTTCAAAAGAAAACCCTCCCCAGACAAGCACGGACACCAGGGTGAGTCATTGTTTGGTTTTCTATTATGCTTATCATTATTCTCTAAAAAGAGACCTCTCCTCACTTTACTCCTTTCCTGTGTTTTTTTTAAGATCCCAGTTGTGAGCTGTGTGGCTTCTACTTTGAGAACCGTAAGGCTCTAGCCAGCCACGCGCGAGCCCACCTGAGGCAGTTTGGTGTGACTGAGTGGTGTGTAAATGGATCCCCCATCGAGACGCTTAGCGCCTGGATGCGCAGCAGGCCACAGAAGGTGTTGGAGATGCATCGTAGCTACATGCAGGGCAGCCGCTCCACCCTCAAGAAGGTGAGGAGAGGCAGCCAGTTGTAAAGCTGGTAATTAATTCCAGTGTAATACCTCGGGTCAGTGCAGGGGTTTTTAATAACAGAGCAAGCTCTCAGACTTTACTTGGCTTTATGTTTGGCCTCTGACACTTGTCTGACTTGTTTTTTTTTTTCTCAGAGAAAAACACGGAAAATATCAGTGGAAGAACTTGTGCCTCCCACAAAGCTATGCAGTTAGACAAGATCAAAACCCACTGTGCTCGCTTCCTGACACACTCACTTCCCTCCCAGTATCTTTGAATAGGCGACATGCTTGGAGATCTTACATGCCTCAGCTGGTGGCTTGACAGACATTTTGTGTCTTGGAAAGCTTCAGACGTGTTGTCTAACAGCTTTGAGCCTTACTGTAGATCCTGTCTTCACACCCAGCAAAAATCACTGTGGGGACAGATGCCAGAACAACTCAGCTATTGACTTGATAGTTGCCATAGAAACCAGGGTGCCTGGCAGCTTATGTTTCATCCTCAGATAAATTATGGCATACTGTTGATAGAAGAAACGTACGTTATTTTTTGTTTTTTTTTTCTCCCTCCTGAATTAGTTTCTGGTGCATTTGCGTCACGGTCACACCTTTTCCCTTAGCTGTGATGTGACACACATACAGAATGGATCACCTTTTTTCAAATGTCCTTGTAATCATATTTTTTTTTACATGCTGGAGAAATGAACCCAACTAAGCTGCATGTATTGTACGGTTAGACCTGTATCAAAGGACCCAGTAGCGACTGATGGCACAATTTCAAATAGACTACCATATTGATCATTAATTAATTGCAAATAATTTGTTAATTGATTATTCATCAATCATTTTTTAGGCAAAAAAACAGTAGTTCGTGATACTCAGTGGAAAAGGATGTGCTTATTTTCTTTGTCTGATGTGATTGTAAACCCAGTATTTGTGGGGTTTGGATTGAGCAGTTAATTTGAAGACATATTGGGCTTTAGGAAACTGATGAGCATTTTTCACTATTGTCTAACATTTTATAGACCAAATTAATTGGAAAATTAATCAATACTAAAACTAATTGTTGTCAGAACAGGTGCCAGAAAATAGTGAAAGATGTCCATGATTTCCCAGAGTCCATTTGTCAAATGTCTTTTTCCCCGACCAACAGTCTGAAGACATTCAGCCTGATATAAAACGGAGAAAAACAGAAATGCTTCACATTTCATATGCTGAAACCAGAGAATGTTTGCCTGATTAATAACTTAAAGGATTAATCAGTTATTAAAATAGTTGACAGTTAATTTTCTGTCAATCATCAAATCAGTTCAGTAACTTTAGTACACTGCCAGTCTCATATTCACTGCTACATCAAAGATAATTTAATTAATTAATGACCCTAAATTTAGTAAAATTAGTGAACTAAGCAATATTTAAACAATGTTTACTTCAGTTCATATAGATGCATATTGACTGTATACGCCACAGTGCTCCAACATTCCTCAATGCCCTGCAGTCTGCACTGGCCTCTGGTCAGGGCGAAGTTGAGTACTGAAGTAGAGTTCCTCACGATTATTTTTCTTGAGCAAACATACATTTGTCCTCTTACTAGCTTTTTGTGGAACATTCATATGCATTTCATGGCCTTTGTTAGCAGATGAAAGTCATTTTTGCTTTACTTATTACTAATATTATTATTTACAAATTATTATTATTACCAAAGATTTCTGCGGATGATAAGTTGCGGTAGAAAGAAAAGGGTAGTAAGTGGCCTCGTCCATTTGCCTTCTAAAGCAGCTCATTGATACTGATGACTTAAACCAGCACAGCAGGATCTCTAATTGCCAAGATCTCACATCCTAATTAGGCTCTTAACTTTGCTTTGGTAATGACAGGTGCACTTGAAAGGTCACTAGTTATGACTGTATACAGTACGTTTGAACACACTGTGCTAAATTAATTGTAAAACAAATGTACAGAATGTTTTTTATCGAAGCTTCCTAATTGTTAAGATCAAGGCATTTCTAATTAGATACAGAAACACCAGTCTCAGACATTTCTCCACTCGTACTTATTTCTACATATATTTTAAGAAATTGGGTTACAAATGTGAACTGCTTATTGCTATAGTTAGAGATGCTGTGTTTTGACAGGAACATTAAAAGCTAAAAAGACTTCATATGTGCAGAATTTAGATGAGAAGTAGTTAATTAAAAAGGTCCAATTAAACAAAAATGCACTTCTACTGACATGTATGTCAAAGTCCCATAAATTATCTTGAAATTACTGGCAGTCACACTCCCTTCTGCAGCAAATTAAAGGAACATTTTGATATTTATTTGCTTTCTTGCCGAAAGTTAGAAGATCGTTACCACTCTAAACATGCTAAATATGAAGCTGCAGCTAGTAGGCTTAGCTTAGCAAGTAAGTCACTGCACCAGCCAAGAAATAGTGCGGCACATAACCCTGTGATATTTTCTATTGTACACTTGATTCGGCCTTATAATACCCTGGTTATAACTACTTATGTTAAATTACACAATCTGTTCCTCCTCTTCCAGAAGAGCAGCTCACCTCTTCAGTCAACAGATTCTGATCATATCCTTCCCATATCATCGCAGAAGGCCTCCTCTTCCTCCTCCTCCTCCTCCTCCTCCTCCTCTTCCTCCTCCTCCTCCCAGTGGTCTTCTTCTTTGGCTGTGAGCCTGGTGCGGCCGGTGAGCCGCGAGGTCAGCCAGGGCTCTTCCAAGACCGCCGAGGGTGAGGCTGGTACCAATCTACAGGCCGTTCCCATCAGGCCCGGCCGCAGCAGTCCCGGCCACTCGCGGCTCGCCAGCGGCCTCCCGCTTCAAGCACAGGTGGCACGCAGTGAGCTTAACGTCCGCCTGCCCAGAGGTACGTGAGGATGCAGCATATGTTTTGCTGGCATGCACACAGTCATGTACACGCTTCAACATTTCAGCCACTTGACTCAAAAAATCTCAAAGTACTGAAATTCTCTGCGGTTGGTTAGCTGTTTTTAGCCACACTTTAGCAGAGCTATCAATGTGGCTCTTGGGATGATGATCCACCACCGTGGTCCAGACTAAAATATATCTCAACACCTATTGGATGGATTGCCATGACATTTTCAACAGTCATTAAAGTGACTTTGATCCCCTGACTTTTCCTCTAGCACCAAGAGCAGGTTGATATTTGTTAGTTGCTGTGACTAAATAGCAAATGTTAGCATTCTAAATGCCAAACTAAGATGATGAAAATTGTACCTGCTAAACATCAGAATGTTAGCAGCGCTGTGCCTTACCAAGCCCCTGGCATGGTTGACACACAATAGCAGCAACTATGGGATACTTTAGATGTAAGACAGAAGAGTTTGTTATGCCAAAAGGAAAAACACTGAAAGTGAGGGGGTTTCACCAGGGGAAATAAATGAGATGTTAGATAGTGTAGAACACAGCATGTTGCCTTTTCGTCTTCATGTTTTAATACTGAATAGCATCATGTTTTGAAAAGTGTTGAAAGGGCAACGTTTTAACTTCAAATCTATTGAAGAATATTTGTACAAAATGAACCTTGCAAGTGCAAAATTAAAGTGCAAAATTAAAGGAGAAAAGAGAATTATTGCAGTTTATACATCTGTTGGGTTTAGAAAAAAAGCTCCGATGGCTTTCAACTAAACGACTGTCTAAAAGAGCTGTACTGGACTGATGCGCTGACATACAAGTATTTTGGTGCAGCTTCACTTTGCACCAACCCTGTCTGTCGCCTCCTCCTCCTCTTGCTAAGGTTTTGAGCGTCGGCCCTTGAAGCACCCGTCTTGCCCAGATGGAACAGAGAGGGACAGCGGCCCCCCTAAGCCCCCCCCGCACAGGCACCGTCCCCGCCCTGGTGCCCAAACCACCCTCCTACCCACTGGTCAAACTGGTGGGCAAATTCTACACCCTGAAGTGCCGGTGAGTGAAACGTGTGTGCGGGGCTTCCCACTGCCCGAGAGAAAACAATCACGGCCTTTAACATGAGAAAGTTTGAGGCGGCAGCATTAATAGAACTGTCTGGCAGTTTTAAATAGTCCTTTAATCCCCAAGCAGAAATCCCCCACCCCCAGCCCCTGCCGACCAGTACTCCACTTTTAGTTTCTAATGTACTATAAGGAGAATAGTGAATCATTTGGGATTTTCTGGCAACACAAGTGAGTGCTTAAGTTCTGATACAACTGCAGTGCAAAAGTTTTAACAGAATCTGCTGCCACTGAGGGAGGCACTGAATTTACCACCGTCAGTTTGTAATTTGTTTCTTTGCTGGAGCCACAGTAGATGTTGATTATTTTGTTTTTTCTTTCTGCGTCAGCTTCTGCGAGGTGGAGTTTCACGGCCCGCTGTCGGTGCAGGAGGACTGGATCAGACACCTCCAGCAGCACATCCTGAAGATGAACTACAGCAAACCTGCTACGCCCAAAGCAGCCTCCGCTGGACCCCCTGCCCCAGCTGATGACCCAGCGCCGGTCCAGGCCTCTGCCACAGCCTCCACCTCTACCTCCAGCACCACCTCTACACCTACTCCTGCCCTCGCCACCACCCCGACCCGCCCCACAGCTCCCAGCAGCCGCTCCTCTACGCCTCTGGCTGAGTGCACTCCGCCTGTCACTGCCACAGAGATAGTAAAGGGCTCCGAGGAGCAACCCACCCCATCTCCAACTTATATCCCCCTCCCCACCCAGACAGTGTAAGCTCAGATTCATCACTGTCATTTTGCCCCCTTTTGCTTTGTCCTGCCTTTACTGTTTCTTTTTCGTCCAACCGTTTATTTCCTTTGGCCTTTGCAAAGTGTTGTTGAGGAGGAGTGTTTCCCCTCCAAAGAGCACCTTTTGAAGCAGCTTTCTAGACTGTTACTAAGTCCCGTTACCATGGGAACGAAGCTCTCCTGGCGTGGATGATTGTGGGAAATGTCCACGCTTATGAGGAGAGAGGAACCAGTGTTTTGCATTTGCCTTGTTTATATTGAATGTCCAGGTGATGACATGGAGCGTTGCTGTGCATCTCCTCCCATTCACTGGACGGTTTAGGGGTTAATGTAGCCCCTATCAAACCCCCCCCTTCTACTACAGTTTTGCCTCCACCCTTTCCCCTAATGAACAGTGCATTACAAAGGCCTGTGAGATCAATTCTATCAGCATGCTGGTAGCGCTGGCCTCAGCCCTAAAGGTCCTTCTGAGATTAAATGACATTTACAATCACGCTAGTGTTGTGGTTGAGACTTCAAATGTGGCAACACTTAGTGTTAAAACAGGCACTTTTAATGATGACACTGAGCACTTACTGAGACGCCCATTCAAATGGGCAAAATTTGACAAAGACTAATTCCGATTGGTTTAAGGAGCAAGAAGTGGAAGCACACTCAAAAAGGGAAGCTCCCCCTTGTTAACTTTATAATGTAATTCTCTACCCGAAATATACATTTGTTTGAATGTAGCTTAAAGCACCTATTAATACCTTAAATGCACACATTCATACACAATCAGACATATATACCCAGTGTTGCTGTTGATAGTTTTACCTTTCATGATGTTACTACTCCACAGTCTGCTGTTTTCAGCAGATGAGGCTGCTGTTGTGTTGAAGGCACAGTCGTTTTTTTAATCTCCCTCTCTGGATTGGAGAAGCAGGGCCATAGAAAACCTTCAAGGTTACACGTACAAGTTTTTTCCCGTGTTGCCATTTTCGTCCTGCCCTTTTCAGTTTAACCCAAATTATTTATTTATTTTAATGCATCTGAATGTGGTAAGCTAGGTCATTAAAGCTAAAGTAGAACTTTGGAATGTTTGGAAGTAGGTCAGCAGTGCACTTTTACACTAGTGCACAGTGTGTGTGTATGATTGTGTGTGTGTGTGTGTGTGTGCGTGTGTGTGTGTTAGTTTGTATGTTTGTGTACATACATAGAAATGTGCATTTGTTTCCCATTTTAAAGAGAAAGACAGAAGTAAAACTGCTAGACAGGAAGACACCTCTTTAGCTCAAAGTGAACTAAATGTGGGAGCCTTCCTGGATGTGGCCTGGTCATGACTTAAAAGCATCCGTCGTCATGTTAGGATGTGCCAAAGAGTCTGTTTACTTCCTGGACTTTCATCTGTAAAAGCTGTTTACATCGCACCTGATGGTGGAGGAAACTCTGCACGGCTACCGAGTTCCTTGAGGCACCACACTGACCAACGGACTGAACCAGCGGTGATCTGCATCCACTACATGCACCGCCGTGTTCCTCCGGTTTAAAAGACTCGGGAGCGGCTTCACGGGGTTGTTACTGTACGATTAGATTATTCCAATTAAACATGAACACAAACCAAACTTGATTTCAAGCAGGGCTCTTGAGAACTGCCGACCCTGAGTCCAAACACGTCTGACCTCGGGGCTCTTGAGGCTGATGTCTTCGGCCTGTTTCTTGCTACGTTGCTTCAGACTGTGTTAATATCAACACCACAACTGCAGCAATAACCGAAGGGTCCATACAGGCTGACGACCTTTTAGAGTTCGTTCCAGTGTTGCCCACGTTTGAAACATGACTGTTCGATCCAAACAATACCCAAACCCTTTTATGGAGTATAGATACATACTATATAACTACATGTACTTAAGAAACTGTTGATGCTAGTAGAGCCATCAGCAGTTCTATTAGCAAGGTAGTTAAAAAAATAAGTGATCTTAATTCTTCTATTGTGATTTTGATTTAAACCTTTGATGCTATGTATTTTTTATTGCTCTGTGCATTTCTGTATTTGCAGTCCTGCAAGGTGAATCTTAGAGTATTTTTTATTTTTACCTGTTAGTCTCTCCAAGCTGAAACTTTGGTGCTGGTGAGAATGTTGCAGGTTGGGAGGTGGCGAGTGGCGTGAGACTGAACGTGAGGAAAACGTTTCAATGTGATTGTCACGTCCCGGTATTATAGGACTCTAATAAATCAGGCCTTAAAGGGGACCACTGTGCACGGTCAGATATGATCTTTTCGCGGCATTCACAGAGTAATAGATGCTGTAGCCTCCTGCAGGCGCCGTGGCTGCATTACTGTGTGAGATGTGAAGTACAGGCCGGTGCATTAGAGTTCCCTTTTAAGATTACCTGATTAAGCCTCAGCTGGTGTGTGTGTGTGTGTGTGTGTGTGTGTGTGTGTGTGTGTGTGTGTGTGTGTGTGTGTGTGTAAACAGACGATGATTAAGAAGAAAAAGATGCAGTTGAGGAAAGAACTGTACACAAAGGGTTAAGTTTTAAGTGAATCAACTACAGAACAAACAAATAAATGTGATTTCAATTTCAGACATTTGATTTATTGTAACATTACAGCACATCACCCCTCTGCACTGTGATCTTTTGCACGGTTTAGTTGTAATGGTTTTTGGCCACTAGGGGGAGGTACAAGATTAGCTTTAAGTTAATGTAGCAGCTTTGACTTGAATACAACCTTAGATAGCAGGGAAAAAAAATCAAAGGTTAAACAGGAACTTAATTGACCACAAAGGGGAAATTGTCTTTGGCAGTACCACAGAGAATATATTTTAAAAAAAAACAATACAGTTCAGTGGGGCCAGTCATTTAGAACAAAACATCGACAACACAACATGACCTTTAGAAGACATGGATAAAGAGTTTCAGACTTCATTCTTACACTTGGAAACAGAAGTTGACAAAACAAATCTCATCACAAAGTCAGTTCAGTTTCTGCTGTGGAGCAGCTGATCTTTTTAAGCTGACATGGATGAGGAGTCCTTAAAAAGCGCTCTGAAAAACCTGAAATGTAAAAAATCTACAGCTTGCTAAACTTGCTGATGAATATCATGTGAACAGCTACTAAATGGACATTGTGGTGAGACTGATTTCCACAGTAGTAATAAGAAACCATTAAAAGATTTCAGGGACTGAGTAGAAATTTCAATAAGTAGAAGCAACGCAAGTATTCGTGTTTAATTTAAAAATATATATTTACTGGTTATATTTACTATTAATTCTTCAGTTTTTATTTATTTCGTATATTCAGGTTTCCACAAAAAATTAGAAAATAACTGTACACCAGATTAACGCCTGAATTAATGCTTTAGAACTCCAAAATTATTAAAGATGCAATAACCAATATTTTTATATTAACAATAGATCAATTGACTTTGTGTAATGTGAAACTTGTAGTGATATACCCACAGAAAAGTATCTGCCCGTTACCCTTGGCTTTACAGAGCTTTTGAGTGTCTTATTATTTTGGTTTTGTAACCTGCGACTTCAGTGCTGTCCTGTCCAGCACCAAACAGCAGACAAAGTTAGAGACTAACTGGTGAACAAAGTGCAGCATTTAGCAGGTTAAGAGTCAGATGTTTCCCTGCAGGAGTTGGTGGAGTCCAAATCTGAGCAAAAAGGAGAGTGAATATTGGACTTAACTTTGATCAGGCAACACGACTAAATGAATGCTAATGTTGCTCAATGAATGTTGGGTGTATAAATAAGCAACTTTTTGCTACAACTACAAGTTACATTACATTATTTTTGGTGCCCCCAAGTGGTCAAAAAAATCCACTGGTTCAGATTTTACTTTGAGATACAACTTCTTTGTGCTTTCTGCGAAAAGATCAGTATTTTCTTTGAAAGTCAGATAGTCATCAGTTCTCAGATATTTAAACCATCAACAATTTCCACATAATACCAGCATTTGTGAAATCCTGCAAACTGTCGAGTGTCTTCTAAATAAAATAAGCTCTCAGGTTTAACCTATATTTATTTCAGGTGATCATGCCTCACAACACTGCTGCACTGCAGGTAATTTACACGGTTGACATATTCATGCTCTGAGCCAAGTGCCATATCATTAGCATACTTGAGTTTTGTTTGCAAAAATAACAAATGTGCTAAATTGGTACCTTGTGGTGCACCTGTGTTTACAGAAATCATCGCTGACACCCCCCTTTGACAAACACTTTATAGTCTGTTGGAGAGGAAACCTCTGATCCACAGGACCAGAGCACCATGAAGTCCAGGAGCCTTTTCATTTAAATTAAAAGCCAAACTAAAATCAATAAATGCAAATAGATTAAGATTTAGCCTTTATACACCCCATTGCAGTTTTAGCTACTGCTTGGTGTGTTCTTCTATTACCAGGTGGGAGTAAGTTGTATGTACGAATGTATGTATGTAGGATCTTTATGGTAAATACAGAGGTGTCAGGCAAATTTGTTCTTTAACCTTGCGTAACACATTTATTTGGCCACTTGGGGGCAGCAGAAACAGCTTTTGGGTTCCCTACTGACACACATCCAGCAGATAGAAAGCCATTACCATTCATCTGAAGCCATGTGTTTGGCCATCTGATGGATGTGTTAATATAAAAAAAATATTTATTATAGCAGCTTTAAGTTCAGGTTTAATGCGGCAGAACAATCCTCCTTTAAGAGCATTTGCTCATAAGCTGAGTGAGGAGACAAATTACCTGCACGACACAAAGACTTCAGTGACTTTGCTTCATGTTTTATGGCAGCAATTCCTAGATCAGCTCCTATTAACCTGACTTGTGTCTTGAAGTAAAAGCCGTTACTTTGATCAATGGTTAATGCGTTCTCCAAAATTGGCTCCACTGCGTTGTATGTTTGAAGACCTACTGTATATCAGTGGCAGTAAATCCCAAGGCCTTGTATTTTTCAGTCTTTAATGATTGATGTCAGTGGACAACCAATATAGTAGTTTTTATCTTCTGTCAAAATCCATGTGAATCAGATTCACTGCTTCTGCATATCCAGGGACCTGAGGGGGTTTTACTTGGAAATGCAGCTCCCAAACATAGCCAAGTGGACAATACTGTCTTGTGATTCTGAAAACATCTGTGTGGATTTTGTTCCCATCAGTTCATTCAGTGATGAGAAACTGACTAAGATAACATTATGGAGAGGAGTGAGGAGGCTTCATAGGAAGTGGGTTCAAGACCTGAACTACAGATACAGGTTCATTGCTGCAACATCCAAATACAATAAACAACTGCTGCTCCAGCATCCTTAGTTTTAGTATATTATCAAAATGTCTTGGTTTATTGTTGTTTCTCTTTCATTTATTATAGGTGAAAATTATAGGCTGTTGGGTTGCTCTTTGTTTTTCTTCACTTTTGTTTCTGCTCTGCTGCTTCAGGCATTATCACGGTGACACCAGTGTCAGATTTTCCTGGGATTGTCCAGAGCCATTCCAATCAGACACAGATGACAACATATTAAAGAATGGAGCCCCTGGGAAATGAAGACTGTAAACGTTGCGTATTTGACATTCACACTGTAATCACTGGACTTAAACAAAAAGAGAAAAATTGCACCATGCTGTTGCAGCTGCATATGCTACACTGCTGATCACGTGTCAATACTCCCACACCTTCAGATCACACTTTGAATCCAATTAAAAAACAAGGCTGCAATGTAATAAAGATGAACACAATGAATGATACACAGATGGCAATGATACTGAGATGTTATTTATTCTGTATCGTAAATAACTCTTGAATTCAGATTCCAGCAAGAGGACACGGTATTATGTGCGCTCAGTGTGTTAGAAATGGAATGCAAAGACACATTTTAGTGAAGCATTTATCTCTTGACATCTGACACATGCCATAAACACACGGAATTAGCACCAACATAATGCATAAACAACTCAGTCCCTAAGCAGAGCAGCTACTCTTTTGGGAGGGGTTTTATCACTGCATCCTTAATTCAGCAAGGTTACCAGTTCACAGCTGCAGCTATATTTATCTATTTAGCTATATTTACATGGAAAAAGGAGGATTTAGAGCAGAGCATTTAGATGGAAGCAGGAAATGTACAAGACAAAGATGCTTGAAGTCTTATCAGAAGATGTTCGTCTTTTGATGAACTACAACTTCCTGATTATCGTGATGTTAATCAAAGTGTGACAGAATAAGTAGCTGCACGTGGTTCTTATCCTATCACATTACCCAGCAGGCAGCATTTCGACGCCTACCTTTGGATACACAAAGTCAGTATATATCTGACTGTTTTAGGAGACATTATTCCTGCTTCTTCCTGAAAGATATAAGAGATATCTGCTTCTTTCTGCCACCAGTCACTACCACAGTGATGCTCAAGTGTTTTTCTTTGGTCCCTAATCCACCCTGCTGTCCACTTGCGGGCTCTGCTCTCCCAGCAGGAGCTTTGTATTGATCACTCATCTGCTGTTTAATATGCTCTGACAGATAATAACATATAAAACAATAAAATAATAAAAATACACTTTGCATTGACGTCAAAATAAACTGCACCTAAGTCTACACATTTTCTGATATTTGTTCAACTTGGTATATTTGGCAAACTTTGTTTCTCTTGTGGATCTTTTAATTTTTCTCCTCTGTTTGCTTTCTTTTTGTCGCAACAATCTCAACAATCACTCTTTTTCAGCTGTGATCATCAACCTCTACCTAAAGAAATTGTGTGTGTGTGTGTGTGTGTGTGTATGTGTGTGTGTGTGAAAGAATAGCCTGGTTGGCAATGGGTTTGTTTGAGGCTTAACATTCCCCTCCAGACACGTTTTAAATCTAAAACTACAATTAGTATTTTGTTTTACGTGTTTTTTTTCACGTAAAAAGTAAAGAAAACTTCTGAAAAGGGGCTTGAAGCACATCTACTCTTTCTCCCTCATTGAGAAATTATGGATCTATGAATGCCCCGGCCCGCACCTATGCTTGCATTGGGTTGACCTGTGAAAGAGCGGTGTCCATCAAGATGGCTAGCGTTGGAGGAAACACTGAAGAGATTCAGCCATAGACGACATGTTTGAGCCTCATTCAGATGCACACATATGAGGATTCTGTTGTGCACCTAAAGTATCAGAATGCAAAGTGTAGTTAGCATCTGTTATTTGTTTATGTGGTTTGTTAGCTTGTTAGCTTGTGACTGGCAGTGGCTGACACAGTGTTAGTGGTTGTGAAACAGACCTGCTGTGATGTTATGGTGCATTCACATTGTCACATTGTTATTACTTAGTGGAAATTGGCTTTTGAATTTGTTATGTACCAAATCTTGCTTGCCCGGGGTTCGTTTGAATCTCTGATTTTAGGGAACTGTATAGACATCTCCCCAGAAGAGGAATGCGAAAACACCTTTCTAGTGACAAACTTTGCACAGATACAAGTCAGTAAATTTAAGGTCTGACATTTTAGCGGACATAAACACATGTTTGAGTGGAGGGGATCTTTAACTCATCAGCATCAGCACCTGACCTAAGCCCTACCCACTAGCATTCAGCCAGAAAGAAAGAAGGAAACTGATAATGAGAACCTAATG